TTTTTTGCTTATATTGTAAATTATTTTAATGAAAAAAAAATGGGTTACTGGCTAGGGTTTAGAGATTTAGTCAGATACAAGAAAAACCTAGACAGTATACAAATCACACTTTTCTATGGAGCTAGCAAGGAATGGGGGATGCTGGCAAGGACCCCCCCAGCTGAGTGGGCACAGCTCTTTTAAAGTCACCATACGTGGGCGCCTGGGTGGCTCAGTTGGTTAAGCGACTGCCTTCGGCTCAGGTCATGATCCTGGAGTCCCGGGATCGAGTCCCGCATCGGGCTTCCTGCTCAGCAGGGAGTCTGCTTCTCCCTCTGACCCTCCCCCCTCTCATGTACTCTCTCTCATTCTTGCTCTCTCAAATAAATAAATAAATCTTTAAAAAAATAAATAAAAAATAAAGTTACCATACGTATTTACTATTGCTGGCATCAATAATACACACCATATTTGGTAAAATTCTTAAATACAGTATTTTCCCCCCCAGAAGTTTTAGCCTGCTGTGCACTTCTTTCACAAAATAATGTATGTGACAGTTATAAACTGTAACAGATGATACACACTTACATGGAAAGAACAATCTTGATTTATATTTATTTCATAAGCCTGTTTTCCATAAATAGTTCAAAGGTAAAATTCAGCTCATTGTAGGTTATATGGACTGCTTTCATGTAAATAACTCCAATACTGATCTGGTATTTTGAACTAGTTAAAAGACTGGCTTCTACAAGTGTATTCACCAAGAAGAGCCTACATTTATGGGAAGATATTAATCCCCTGTCCTATCCTCAGATGATAAAAGGAATTCTAGAAAGTACTAGATCTTTGGGTAGTCAAAGCAAACAACAAAGAAAACCTCTAGCTCCAACAGAGTCAAGGAAATAAACACGTTTAATACACAGAAACATCAGGCCCATGCGGTGTCTCCAACCTGCCTATCTGATGGCATTTTGGTAACCTGTGCCCATCAGAACAAGTGCATCCACCAAGGCTGACACCCATCAGCAGCTGAGCGCTGCAGTCAGGTCCGCATCGCTAACTAAGGGCCCTGCGTCTATCAACATGGCCGCCGTTGCCACAGTGCGCAGCTTAGTGGGCTGGGACAGGAACGTAGCGAGATCCATTTCAGCAGGCCCATCATGGTGCAGACAAGGAAATGGAGGCCTAGAAATGGGAGACAGGAGAGGACTTCCCTAAGCACACGAGAGCCTGCAGCCAGACTCACTTCCTCACTCCCAAAGTGTTTCCATAGGATTCTTAAAACAATCCCACAAGGTACACGTTTATGATTTCTATTTACAGATAAGGGAACAGGTGCTCAAGGAAATAGAGGTTCTGCCCAAGGCTACAATGCCACATATACATGGCATACATATACATATATAAAATTGTATTACATATATATAAGTTTCACAGCTGGGGTTGAAACCTATAAAGTTGGAAATGAACTTCACAGGACTTGTAATTCTGCTAGAATGTAGGAGGATGTGAAAGACCTTCACTCCCAGAGTAACAAGAGAAAACTGAGACAAAATAAAAATAATGCTTCTCTATAAGGCTGGCAAAGAAAAGTGAATACAAGCATTCTTCACCGACTGCCCTCTGGAGAGAAAGAAGCCCCTCGGGGGTGAGCAGGAGCCTGGGTGCTTGCGTGTACCCCAGGGAGGAGACTCCTAAGTCTGGATGCAGGGTACGGAAGAGCAGGCCTGCCTCAGATGGAGATTTGGCAGATATGCGGAGAATTCAACCAGGATTCAGACAGTACTGACCAAGATCCACAAACATATCACCTTCAAAAATAAACTGCCAGGCTAGACAGTCCCCCTTCCCTGGATCTCACAGAGTAAATGGTCAAAGAGAGGCTCTGAGTCTCGTGTGTCCTCCTGGTGACTGGCTGCCAGACCCTGTCAGAACTGAGCACATGGAGGGAGCCGCGGACATCTGACCCCTGCACGCCCAGCCTCTCCCAGCTCCAGTACTGCCAAGATCAAAAGGCTGCTGCCAGAGAGGTCAGGGGAGGGCTTAGCACGCCCTTAGCATGGACATCTGACCCATGCACGTCCAGCCCCTCCCCAACTCCTCTTATTATGGCTGCAGCCCAGATCTGGCATGACCGGACTCCAGAATGGGGACGATCAGGCCTTCACCACAACTGCCTGTCAGAGGAAAACGTTTGCCTTCCTTGGAAATAAAACAAAACCCAGCATTGTACTTCAGTCTCCAGTATTCTTTTTATACCCATTATCTGGACCAAAACACATTACCAACTAGAAGTGATCACTTAGCTAAAAGTTGGACATGCCAAGCAGCAGTGCAGCATCGGGGGGAAGCAGAGCATCTGGGATCCCTGGAGGCCGCCCACACAGCCTGCAGCGCCGGCTGCTCCCCACACACCCGCTAGTTAGAACACCGTCGCTGAGCACATAACCTACGGCTGCCCGCGACTGGCTGGTCATTTGTCACTTTTTGTTTGTCTAGCCACCTTCTCCACAATACTCGTTTCTTTGGTCGATACACTGCTCTCTTTTGCATTTAGTCTTGCTCTCCAACCATGTAAGCCAGGGTTCCTGGAGGGCCCCTCTGAGCTCCAGGACCACAGGCAGTGGTTTTCCCTGGGGTCTGCACACCCACTTCCAGGATTCAAGAATGGGGCAATTTAAAGATAAATGGGGGGGGGGGGGGGCGGTGCGCCTGGGTGGCTCAGTCGTTAAGCGTCTGCCTTCGGCTCAGGTCATGATCCCGGGGTCCTGGGATCGAGCCCCACATCAGGCTCCCTGCTCCGCAGGAAGCCTGCTTCTCCCTCTCCCACTCCCCCTGCTTGTGTTCCCTCTCTCGCTGTGTCTCTGTCAAATAAATAAAATCTTAAAAAACAACAAAAAAAAGATAAATGGGGTTCATTTAATCCAGTAGAGGAATAAAAGCTAGATCCTTGAGCAATTCCTGCTACAAAACCTTCGGGAGCTTTCCGTCCTAAGTCCAGTTTTTGAACTTCCTTTTGAGCTCATGAGCTAGCTCCTCATATCTTTCAAATAAATTCTTTATTGCTGGAGTCAGCTGTTTGCAGTGGGACCCCACGGGTACTCTTTACGAGACCAGGACTCTGGCCCCGTAGACAATGCTCGGCTCCCTCACACACGTCTGCAAAGGAATTTGCTCGACTGGACCATGGATCACCATCCCCTATTTGAGCACCTCGGCCATTGTCAGGATTTCTGCAAGCGACGCATCTCTGGCAGACAACACTGTGCTCTAGTTTTAAAACTGAACTGTCAGGATTCACAAACTCAGATCCTTGATACATTCCACACCAGCATTCACATTCACTGCAACCGCAGCTCCCAGCACAAAAGCTTGTACTTACAAGTGTTCCCAAGCAGAGTGATTCTAACTCTAAATATTCATCACAAACACATGCTCCCATTCCAGTGTTCTGGAGATGAGCTCTTATGCTGTTCGCAGTAACTGAGGAGGTTGCGTTCTTACTCACATTGCTACCCAGTCTCCTTTAGGTCTGATCTCATCTGGCATCTGTGTCACTTGTCTTCTCCGCAGTTTCGTGAACGTGAGGGGAGCACAGAACTTCCACCTATACATGTAAAGAGAGCTTGAACTTTTGACGAGATCGGTGAACTCTGTTTGATGCCTGAATCTACAACAAATTTAATAACGAAGGCCCTCTGAGGACTTCTGTCAGCTCTAAATGGAATGATTCTATGGCTTTGAGGGCAGGATATGTGATCTGCATATTGGAATTCTATCCAATATTCTGACCTTAAGAGAAGCTAAAAAGAGAATATACAGCATCCAATTTGTTTTCCTTATCCAGAAGAAAATGGTAACATTTGTCGACAAACAGCACAATTCCAGTAAAAGCACTTCCTACCAACAAGGGATGCTGCCATTTTTATAAGAGGCACTCAAGGCTTGAGACATCCTCGTTAACGCCAACCCTTAGAAGTTGCAGCCACCCAGTAATGGTAGCTTATTAAGGCCCACATGCATTATTTAGATTAACCCAACCCAGCTCTTGATAGTGTGGTGGGTCCTGGGTTGCCCTGCAGTTGGGAGCAGAGAGGTAGGAGCGAGGGAAATTCATAAAGTTACTGAACTGCTTCAAATCCCGAGTTACTCAACTCTACACAAAAACGCCTGGGAATAGTTTGAGACACACCAGACTTACCAGAAGTCTTCCAACGAGGCTTTTGGAGAAATACCACACGGGTGGTCATTTCCATCTCAGGCCCCAGAGTACAGGCCTCGGGATTCTGGAAGCATAGAGGATGCTCACAAATGCAGTTCGGCCAACAGTGACGTAATCGGTGTGCAAAAGTAACACAACTAATAACGTGAGCGCCCCCTTCTGAGCAGTCACTGCTCTGGGCGTGGTGCTGTAGGTCACTAGTGCCCGGGACAGGGTTGGTTAACGGGGAGCGTGGATTTAAACCCAGGCTGTTCCACTCCACAGCCGGTACTCGGAACTGCCACCCACAAGGGAATACCCCAGAACCCAGCACCCAACTACCTGTGTCAAATGCATGTCTGCAGCAAGCACAGATTATAGAACACTAAAAGTTCTTCAGAGGGATATAAAAAAGTGTCCTTGATTACTTTAAGGCCTTAAAGATGAGTCACGGTTGATGGGATTAGTGTCTCTAACTTCCTTCGATGATTAAAACCATGATCAACTTAGCAACTATACTACTGGATATTCTGAATTTAAGAAAGGACACGAGAGACAGATCCTCTTATTTTGAATCAATATGCCATCAGATTAAACTCAAATCATTACTGAACTCCTTGCTGAGACACAATAATGACTGGATACTAGAATGTATGCCAGAGACGTGTGAAAGCTACACAGCGAGATAAAACACTCCGAGGGCAAGGTTTATACACTAAAAACAACCCAGAAAATGTTACATACCTGAAGAAGACCAAGTAGAGAAAAATTAATAAAGAGGGTCCTCTTTATTACATATTTATAAAATATAATATAGTCATTAAAAATGGAGACGAAACTTTTTATTTTTGGTATCTTGTGTTTTGCAGCCAATTTTCAATCATTGTCACCCTGTTCGTGACTTGCCTTCTGCCATAGCCTCTACCCCACCCGTCATTCAAAGCACAACAGAGTAAACGCTCCAACAGGTTCTGTGAGAGACTTCCTATCAAATAAATTAATCCAATAACTCACGAATGAAGACTGAGAGTTTTCAAAGAAATACAATAAAAACAAAACTATATGAAGCATAATTTAATCTTTCAGATGGTTCACAGAAGGCACCTCAAGATCATACTGCGCCATTCTCCTCATGCGGTGTGTTTAAGTGCCTGTAACAGAATTCTGGTTAGTGAAATTTTGGACAAAAAAAAAGTTTCATATGTAGGGCACATAGCATTGAATGACTACGGATACAACATGGAGATTCTGATATGTATATCTGTACTAACTAGGGCACAGTTTATAATATGCTAAGAAAACTTTAAAAATTAAAGTTACAAAATGAGTATTTTTAGCACATTTAGTAAGAGCTACTTGTTTTAGACTATCATTTCATTTTTGATGACCAAATTATATTTGACCATAATTAAAGAACATACAACTTTAAAATAACATTAAAAAACCATGGTTACAACAGAACTATGTCCCATGAAATGAAAAAAGGACAGTCACATACACATGCTGAATGGCACCATAGTGTTTCAAAGCCATTCATGGGCCAGGCTTCCAATCCATGTGTCGGGGTATCGATCTGAAACACATCTCTACTCAGTGTGCTGCCGGAAGGAGGTGAAATCCATGTGAAATCCGTCCTGATCACACGACTGCCTGACAACCATTCAATGCTCATCACTGAACAAGTATTTTTATTTGATTATCCTGATACCATAATAGCGGAGACACATCTGGAAACGGAGATGGGGCCGACTGCAACTATTCCACTGCAGAGAGATGCTCACTTAAAAAAAAAGCTGAAACAAAGGAAACAACTGGAAATGGCTGAATCACCGTACCTTAGACACAACCATAAATCTTCGTTTTGCTATATACTGTTTGGTACTTTCTGATTCAGTAGTTGGGGTAAAAAAAAGTTTCGTATTCAAACATATCTACATAATATCCATATAAAATGTGTGACTATATACATTTAATACACACACACACACACACACTCACATCCCCCTTTCTCACGAATGACTCAGTGAATCATCTTTGAGACCAGCTTAGATGCTCTAAGGCTGCAACGTATGGCTACAGAGGTCAAACACAAGCACCCACTCACGCTGGATCAAACTGTTCCTCCTCATGATTTCTGACAAGTAGTAATACCGCTTATACAACAACTGTTTCTCAATAACTTAGAATTCAGAGTATAAAACCAGTGTCAGGAACATTGAACTCTCTCACTGGGTGAAGAACATTTCTCTTTTCATTCTATTTCCACTGATGGTAAGAGAGCGCATCGAACTAGATCACACTGAACTGTACAAATGATCTTTACTCTTAATCTAAACAAACGTGTGTTAAAACATTCTGAAATGCTGCATCCTTTGATTTCTTCATTTTTTCAATTGCCCGATGCAGGTCCTGTTGTTGCACGGGCCGGATTTCATCCTCATCGTGGCTAAAATGCAAACAAAACCCACCAGATGGTCAAATGACTTTGGGATACCCCTCTCTCAAATATGCTACCCAGATTAAAACATGACATCTCTTTCCCATAGAAGACCCCCAAAGATAGCCACAGTTAATCGCTTCATGTGAATTCCTCCAGGAGCATTGACTACTGGGAGGCAGGAGGCCAAAATGGCTGGTCATAAATACACATTCGAGATGTAGGAATGAAAACCAAACACTGCACACTAAGAATCACGGGCAGAATATGAGCATAATGGGAAAATGTTAGCTATAGGTGTGCGGTTGATCTAAACGGGAACGGAATTCCAATCAAGGAATCACAAGTAGCATTCATGGCCATACATTCATGTATATATTTAGCATGTGACAAACTGAAAACAGAATGCTTTGCTATTAACAAAAACCAACCACTCTAAGTCCTCCCCTCTTTAATAATAATATATAATGTCTCCTCATAATTTACAACACTTTGGAAAATACACTTGGGGAAAAAATTATAAGCCAAGTCTATGAGCCAGATTTTTCATACTGAAATATAAAATTTTCAAAGGCTTTGAGGACAGCAGAAAAAGAGTAATGTAATTTATTCACACAAAATGTATTCATAGGTTGGGTTTTTTTGCCTCTCTCCTCATTATCTTATACACAAGAATAAAAACCTGTGGAAAGCAGACTCTTGGCTACAGTCAGAGGTCAAAAGTATTCCCACCGTTAGCGTCAGGGGAACTGGATAATCTGGCAACAAGTAAATGAAGTGAGCGTCTCCCTGACGGGCCCCAGGGAGCACTAAAGGCAGGTGCAGAACTAGGGCACACCCAGCTAACCTTTCTACGCCAAGGAACACACCTGCTATGGCAATGAGCTGTGATGAAAAACACAGCACAAGAGGCAAATCCAGGTCCTGTGGAGTGAAAGCCTCAGCGGGGGAGGAGAGAGGGGGCCTGAGAAACAAAAGGGCAAGAGGTGGAGAACTCATTCACCACAGGCCCAGGAAGTACACGGGTCTGCTAAGTTACAGCAACCCGTCAGAAGGTCAGTGTTTTGAGGAGACGCAGAGCTACGCTGGCCCAGGGCAAGGGGCCTTTTCCGAAGTGGTTCATCAGGGCTGACTTACTCCGGTTCTCTAGTGTCTCTGCTGAAACACATGAGTATGAATTGGTTTCTCAAACTCCTGCTTTGAAGTTGGCTGCAGTGACAACAGTTTCTTTGCTTAGTAAACATGTCACTGTCAACAAGCTAAAGTCTAACCCCCAGCCAGGGCCCTTACCCCCATTTATCACCCCCATTTACATGTGAAATTCCTGCAAGACAACAGGAAATGGGATTAGGAAGTTAAGATGCAAAACAAGCCAGGAGTGCTGGAGAACCTGCTCTCCTAGCAGAGATTGGGAGCCTAAGCTCCTGTCGGCCTTCTGTGACCCAGTCTGTGGATGTGTGGTAGAAATCCAGCTTTTGTTTCTTTCTCTGCATTCCGGAGCCTCCCCACGACCCACGTCCCCAATTCATTTTCAGAACTTCCCTTTAGAAAAAAAGGCAATTAATAAAGTTCATTCAAGTCCACCTTTGATTCCATAAGCAGGGTTGGTATTGTAAAGAAACATGAACCAACCTAAAAGCTCTACAAGGGTTTGACAAATCTGAGAGATCGTACCTTTCTTCGGATGCAGAATTCACATACTCCCTGACACAGAGGAGTGCCGCGTCCCTGCACATCTCCTTCAGGTCACTGCCGGAAAAGCCATCTGTTTCCTGGGCAACTTCGAGCAGATCCACGTGCCTGTCCACCTTCAACAGGGAAAAAGGCATATAAAAAATGCTGCAGAGCATCTCTCCAAACATGCTTCTTGAAGAACACATATTGGAATAGCAGGGAAGGAGAATCATCAGTTTCTAGTCTTTACCTTAACCATAAAAGCTGGAATTTTGAAATCTAATTTTCGTTAACTGTCACTATGACTGTAATAGCGAAATAAAGCCTTCCTAGCCCATACCATGCAGTGCCTAGGAAGAACAGACATGCAAACACCGTCAGACTGATTATGATCGGACTTGTCTATTCTCTTCCTCTCTGTCTGAGAAGACTTCTTACATATGTACCTCAGCAGTCAGACACAAACAGGAATCTAATTTCTCTACTGCTTGTAATATTTGTGAAAAAGTACATGCATTACGCATCTGTCCTTCCACACTCATGGGACTGATGGACACTACCGACTTCAGGACAAGCAATGACAGAGACCGCAGGAGATGGGAAGCAAAGTATGTGAAGAGCACCTGTTAAATCTGGGTGGTAGATATAAGGTTATTTGTGTATACACTTAAAATATTTTATGAATTAAAAAACTACTTAAAAAACACCTTCCAAATTATACACTGAGATGTTAAAAATTAGTCTTCGTCCCTTAAACAATCAACACCTCCACCCCATCTCTTGACCACTCCTTTGTTGGACTGCACTATGTTGTAACCATTCACAAGTCTTGTGCATGACACAGTGATAAAGTCACAAAGATGAACAAATCAAGTATGAGAAAGGATTGAAAAGGAGAAGATTCCAGTCACTGGGGGAGCAAGATGAACAGAGATAGCGCACCATAATGGTTAAGAGAAAGGCTCCATCACTCCTTTGCTATGTGAGCCTGGGCAATTTATTCTATAACTTCTCTGGGTTTCAGTTTCCCCAACTGTAAAAGAGCATTATTATGTATGTGCTCCTTAGATGGATGGAGGATTAAGTAAAACAAGGTTTATCTCACCACTATGCTAGGCACATGGCAAATACTCTGAAGGTAACCCTTTTTACAAGATAATAGCTATCAGACAAACCATGAAGTCATGAAAACTGTTTTCACTAGGCAACCAGGAAGGCAGCTCCCAAGTTAAACAAGGTTTTGAGTCCCGGGAGCAACACTGGCATTAATCAACGGACTCCTAAGATAGCCCGAAGCACAGCACCCGCTTGTGTGCGGTTACTGCGTCTACCGTGGAGGGCGCACACGCAGGGCACTCTCAGCACCTCACATACTTCACTTAAATTCTCAAAACGATTCTTGGAGACTGTTGGCATTACCTCTGCTTTCCCAGTGAGAAAAATAAGGGCGTAGAGACACTCAACAGTATCTGCCCAAGGTCACCCAGCAGGGAGGGGTCAAGCCAGAATGTGGGGGGCCCTGGGGTCTGTCTCCAAAGCCCAAGCCTGTGAACTACTCCTGCTGTGTTATGGAAAAGGTCTAAACTCAGATTTGTTTGTAGAAGGAAAACTCTGATCTCCTCACTACAGAGACAGGATACCTGTCTAAGGTATCCATTTTATTACTTCTAATTCTTTTTATACTTTAAACTTAAAGCCAAAATCACTACCCTGTTTTATTTTTTTTAATTTTTTTTTAAAGATTTTATTTATTTATTTGACAGAGAATGACACAGCGAGAGAGGGAACACAAACGGGGAGTGGGAGAGGGAGAAGCAGACTCCCTGCCAAGCAGGGAGCCCGATGCGGGACTCGATCCAGGGACTCCAGGATCATGACCTGAGCCGAAGGCAGTCACTTAACCAACTGAGCCACCCAGGTGCCCTCACTACCCTGTTTTAAATGAGCGAGTTGTGTTAAGGAACTATCAATAAAGAAATGTGAAAGACTAGAAAAGAGTATCATCTGAGGCATCTTTTAACAGAATTACAATAATTCTTTCAGATTCTAGTGAAGCAACAATATGCCTTCAGCATATAAATACCAGCTAGTGGGAAATAAGATGTTCCCATGTCAACAGTTATCCAGAAAGCATTTAGAAGTACTGCGAATCATAAAACTGGAGACTAGTTCTTTGTGCTTTAAGAAAAAGAATGCTAACAATTCCTTATACCCATGACAAATGTAATTCTAAAAGAATTTCCAAAGATGCTACTATTAAAAAAAAAAAAGGCAGAATATGAAATCAAAGTTTAGAAATAATGAGGAGTTTCTTAAGTCAGATGTGAAAACATTACAGCCTGTGTAAAGTATGGCTATCTTATGAGACAGAGCTTAAATTGTATCATTTATATTCGCCATCTGTACGTAAGTCACCCACATCATCTATATCTATATTCAACCACACAAGTTAACTTCTGGCAATACCATCCTTCGTTAAGTTTTTTTAAATTAAATAATTGTATTAACTTGAAATCTCTACAAAATTGTCAGGAACTACCTTCTAGTAGGTGATAAATTTCAAGCCACACCACAGCCATCCTAATTCAAAAGAACTTGTGGAATTATTTTATCTCTTTTGTTTTCTTCCCTGAACTGCTCATTGATGACTCTCTTTGTTAAAGGTTTACCAATTAAGTGTCTTTTACCCAAACAGCAGTACAACTACACAATGTCTTTTTGAAAGCAGTTATCGAATATTCAGCTAAAAGGCAAATGTAATTTGTTGATTTCTCACTCACATAGGCAGGAGTTCCTTACCCAGAACACATGGAAAGTTTTACGAATTTTCCTGAAATTGTACAAAGTATTTCATGTACATGTAGTTTTTAAGAAAAGACTACATAGTGTTTATCTCTTTTATTAAATGGCTCTATCATCCCCACAACAGTAATCTCTGTAATTTATTAGGTTCTTTAAACTTTTGCAAATAGCATATATGTTTTCTTTGATTGGTTTTAAAGAAAAAAATGAACAGGACACTACTGAAAGATACGGGAGAAGAGTGGAAAAACCAAAAAGACATACCTGCTTTTGGACAAAGATTCAACATCAAAAAGATCTTAATTCTCCTGAATTATGATCCATTAAAACCACTAGTGTTTGTTTTTTCTTGAATAAGACAAATTAATTCTAAAATTCATACAGAAAAATCAGCAAAAATAGCCAGGAAACTTTGGGTTGGGGGTCAAGGCCACAATCCGCCATGGGAAAATGTGGACAAACTCAACTTGGCTGTTTCAACAAATAAAGTGAAAGAAGGTGGAGGAAAAGGAGAGAAAGATGAAGGAATAATCTATAGCCCATAGATTAAGAGATTGAAAAACTATCAAATAATTGCAAATTATGAACTTTATATGGATCCTGAGTCAAACAAATACATGTTAAACAAACAAACCATTTAGGTGACAACAGGAAATCTGAACAGACGAGGTATTCAATGATAATAACGAATTACTGTCAGTTTTTTGTTGAATGTAATAATGTTTATGAGGTTAAATCAAAAAAGTTAAGAATTCTTTCTTTTAGAGATACAACTAAAGTAAACCTGGGAGGTGGGGAAGGAGGGGAGAGCTGGAGCAGAATTAGTGACCCACGGACGGTGGCAAACCACGGAAATACAAGAATCCCTCACTATGGGAATCTATTTGTTTTTTTTTTTTAAATTTTATTTATTTATTTGACAGAGAGAAAGATAGCGAGAGCAGGAACACAAGCAGGGGGAGTGGGAGAGCGAGAAGCAGGCTTCCTGCCGAGCAGGGAGCCCGATGTGGGACTCGATCTCAGGACCCTGGGATCATGACCTGAGCCGAAGGCAGACACTTAATGACTGAGCCACCCAGGCGCCCCCTATTTGTTTTTTTTTTTTAGTTTGGATATAGCAAGTACAAATAGTGAGTTATTTAATTATTTTTTTAAAGTAAGCCCTATGCCCAATGTGGGGCTCGAACTCACAACCCCAAGATCAAGAGTCACATGCTCCACCGACTGAGCCAGCCAGGCGCCCCTCAAATAATGAGTTTAGATATGAAGTTTAGGATAGTGAGAAATACGATGTTATTCAAAACTCAGAAACCATAAAGGGGGAAAAATCCCAGTAGATTAAAAAAGACAAACCAGGAAAAAATATTTTCAAATCATATAAACAAAGTGAAATCTCCCTAATGTATTAGAGTTCCTATAAATCAATGAGAAAAAGAACACTGCAATAGAAAAATGGGCAAAGAATATGAACAAGTATTTCACAGAAAAGAATTCAAGTGGCTCCTAAACATACTCATTTCATCCCTAAAAATACAATGAAATACCATTTCCTACCTATCATGTCGGCACAGTTCCATAGCATTCTGTTGGCAAGGCTACAGGGGAAGAGGTACTCTAACATTGCTGGTAAGAGAGGAAACTAGCACAGACAATTTGGCAATAGCTACCAAAATTATAAATCATATCCTCTGATCTAGCAATTCCTCTTCTGGAAAATCCACACTACTAATATTCCTGCACAAGTGTGAGGAGACATGCATACAAGGCATTTTTATAATAGTAAAAGATCGGAATCAACCTGAATGTTCTTCGTTATGGCATTGATTAAATAAATTATGGTATATCCATACAGTAAAATCCTATGCAATGCAAAAAACAAAAAAACAAAAAACCAAAGAGAGAGAGAGAGAGAAAGAACAAAAACACTATATGCTAATATGGAAAGATCTCAAAGATGAGTGAAAAAAGCAATGCACAGGACAGTGTATGCAGTTTATTAATATGGTTTATGTAAAATAGGGAAGAGGAATAATAGCATATTCTGATTTGCTGGTATGGACAATGCCATCTGAAAGGATACAAAAGAATTACAGGAGAGGAAGCGAGATCTTCCCTGAATACCATTTAACATATTTTAATCCTGAAGCATGTGACCTTAAATACACAAACTATTAAAGATTTTGATTATCATACCTTCTTAAATCTAAATTCCAATTTCAAAAAATACTGTAATTAAATAAATTTAAAAAACCCCTGCATACTGCTGTATAAAAATAAATGTATCTTATATAACTGGAGAACAGTCTGAAAATATCAAAGAAGATTTTAATCTGTAGATACGAAAACACAGGGCTTTAAAAAAAGAGGACCATCTTTATTAAGTTCAAATGCACCAGGGTTACTGATTTGCATGAACAGCCAACAGTTTTACAGTGATTTATGCCAAGTACAAAGCTGTTTATTCTCAGGTTACTTTTTCATTTCCCTCTAAAATGGTTTCATGAACATATTTATAGGATGGGGAAAATAGAAATTTTCTACTTACATTTTCATTTTTCAAGATGAGTTTCAGGATTGCTTCTCTTTGTTTTAGAGCCTAAAACCAGAATAATTTCCAGTTAGCATTAAAAAAGAAAAATAAGGATCAATTGGTTTTCCTAATATTTCTTCTTTCCTCTGTAAACCATCTGACAGTACCTACAGGAAATGATAGAAACTCTAAAATACTGGCTTAAGCAAGGTCTAGGTTCTAGACTCTAATCGTCTCTGTCAACCTACTGAATTCCAATCTTCTTATTCTGAATCCCCAGCGATTAGCACAATGTCTGGGAAAAAAACATGCCCTTAAATGTTTCTTGAGTGAGTGAATGAATACCTAGGGATGACCAATGTCTTTCCCCTTTGGCTCTGCAAATTTCCTTTTCTTTATTCAGGAAACTTCTGAGAACTTAACACTGCAGTAAAATTTTTACCATTAATTGGAAGAGATGGCAACAATACCCCCTTAGTTCCTCCACTTGAACCTGTAACTTCCATGCTTGCTAATTCATATTAATTTTTGGTCAGTGTTGACAGTACATTTGTTTATATGCTTTTCGCCCTAATGATGGTTCATAGTATTATACCAGGGAATAGAAGCTTTTATGGAATGCCTTACATATATGGTAAATATAAATGCTTTTTAAATAAGTTATCATGGCTGAACTCATTCCTATTCCCAAGGCATTGAAAAACAGAGCTAGTTATCCTTGAGTATCAAATCAAATGACCAGAAAACAAAACCAAACCCCTCTGTTTCTGTAATTCAAGAGCGTTAAGTGTGAAGGTAAACTTGTTATGTTATGTGATCACCAGTAACTACCTTTTGTTGACAATCTAATTTGGAGAAGCGGCTTAAGGTAAGGTTAATCATATACTTTGACATCATAGTTACAAAATAAGAAAAAATTACCATATAAAGTGTATTATTCACTAAGAACAGAATGAAAAGGGGGTTATAAAAGCCCAGTTTCTACATTAAGAGCACACAAATTTTTAACAAATTTGATAAATTCTGTTACAGCCCATTTTGATAACTTAGAACTTTAGCAAAGGCTACCTTCCATGCTGTTGTGTCCTATGTTCATTCTACTGTACATCAAAAACCTTTGTTTTCTCTTGGACTACAAGCAGAGATTCTATCAATTTAATCTTTGTCTTTAGAACCACTGAGGTAAATTATTTTTCTTTAAAAATGTCCACCTTGCTAACAAAATAAAAGTGAAATTCTTGGTCGAGGCACAAAGTTCATCCACAGATGGCAGCAGCCTACCTTTCCTGGCCTCCCTCCACCTGTTTTCCAGAGGTCCTGAGTGAACTACCCCCAGAGGGCAGCATTAAACACATGCTCCCACACCTTCTTGCCTTTGTTCATTCTGAGAGCCTTTCCCCTGCCTCGCTTGCATATGAAATTCCTGCCATCCTTCAAGGCCCAGCTGGATTCCGTAAAGTTTACTACTCAGACAGAATAATTAGTTTTCATCATCATTTCAGGTTTTCACAGTTCTTTAAAGGTACTTTTGTGAAGTACCTTTTATGTCATTTATGTATGTCTGCCTTTCCTGTGACACAGAGTGGAGGACGGGGCTGCGTTCCTTCCCCAGAGCCTGGCAGGTGCCTGACACATACATAGTGCTCAACACTCGTCAAACTCAATTCTAGAGTCTCCTACATCAAGTTAGAAACTTTCATTGATTTCTTGGGTACATTTTCTAACAGAGTGGCTAACTTTGTGCATACCCTCAGAAGGGCCAGAGGTGGTAGCAACAGAAAAGAAGAGATCAGAGCAATTCCAGAGGCCACCACCATCAATGTTAGGAAACCACGTTTATTGCCACAAACTGGCAAGCTGCAGAATATACAAGGGGACAAGTGGTTTTTAGCCAGAGACTGTAAGCAGTATTAAAATATTTTTATTTCAAAATCTGAAAGGAATGACACTGAGAGTTCCTCTACACAGCTATACACGTACCATGCTGATCGTATGGCACATGTATTCACTTACTAACCCTCTTTCCTTCTTCAGTCGAAAGGCACATAAAATTCAAGATGTGAGGACGTTGTGGAAAAATTACACAGTAAAGTTATAATCATTGACTTGAGGATATTCCTTAACTAACAAAGTAAAAGTACTAGAAAGGAGATAAGATAGTACTGGTTCAAGGCTGCCCTTACATCTGCTTTAAGTAAAAGTGCAATTCCTCAGCGAATGGGTAACCATTAATCCTATCAAAGGAAAGCACCGGAGCAGTCCCAGCCGAAGTGAGTATTAGCAACTGTTGTATCCTACTGTGGTCAAAGTTCTACAACAAAGATTGATTTAAGAATCTGAGATACTGCGACAAGTAGGCTTTTTAAAATCAAGACTTTTTGGAGGAGGAGCAAGATGGTGGAGGAGTAGGAGACCTAAATTGGGTCTGGTCCCAGGAATTCAGCTGAATAGGTATCAGACCATTGTGAACACCTATGAACTCAACAGGAGGGCAAAGGAAAGAAGAGCAGCAACTCTCTGAACAGAAAAGTGATCACTTTCTGGAAGGCAGGATGTGCGGAGAAGTGAATCTGAGGCAATATTTGGGAAGATAGACGGCGGGGGTAGGGAGCCTCCGTCAGCCACTACTAGCAAGTGATAGAGCAGTGGAGCACAAAATTGGAACTTTTAGAAGTCTGCTCCGCTGAGGGATGTCACTCCAGTGGCTAAGCGGGGGGTGGAACCCTCGCACAGAAAGACCGGGGGTGCCTGAGTGTGGCAGAGCTCCCAGATATCTGAGTGGGTAAGCTGGTTGCAGAGACGGAGCCGAGGAGTGGGCTCTCAACTCGGGGTTGCCATAAACTGTGCTCCACGGCACAGTCAGGCCACTGCTCCTCCAGCAGGGACCCAACAAGTAGCAGATCGGGGGAGACTTCCCTTCCTCCCCTGGGAGGAGCGGCGCGGAAGCGCACCGCGGGAATCTACTGGGTTTGGAGACTCCAAATGGGATCGTGAGCCAGAGACAGAAACACTTGGTCACAGGCCGGGTGAGCATGGAGTGTGGCCGGGGATGGGGAGACAGGAGTGACTGACTGCTTTTCTCTGGGGGAGCACTGAGGAGTGGGGCCCGGGGTTCTCGGCTCCTCTGGGGCAGAGACTGGGAGGCCGCCATTTTCACTCTCACACTCCAAAGCTGTACGGAAAGCCTGCAGGGAACAAAAGCTCCCAAGAGCAAACCCAAGCAAATGACTTAGCCCAGCCATGGCAAGGGCGGCACAATTCCGCCTCCGGCAATGACATTTGAGAACCACAGCAACATGCCCCTCCCCCAGAAGATCAGCAAGAACAGCCAGCCAAGACCAAGTTTACTGATGAATGAGAACGGCAGAACTCCAGCACTAGGGGAATACAGCACACAGAATTCATGATTTTCCCCATGATTCTTTAGTCTTTCAAACTTAATTTTTAAAATTTTCTTTATTTTTTCTTTTTCTTATTTTTTTTTGAATTTTTCTTTTTCCCTATTCAACCAACATCTTATCAATTCCGTTTTTAAAAATCTTTTTTAATTTTCATTTTTGGAGTCATATTCTATCACTTCATTGTAGTTAACCTTATTTTTTTGTATACATCTGTAAGTTTTTCTCTCTTTAAAAGTTTCTTCTAACAGACCAAAATATACCCTAAATCTCTAGTGTATGGCTTTGTTTTAGTCTCCTGCCTGATCACATTCTCTTTAAAATTTTCTTTCTTTTTTCAACCAACTTCCTATCAATTCCTTTTATAAACTTTTATAATTTTCATGTTTACAGTCATATTCCATCCCTTCATCATATTTACCCTTATTTTTGTACATATATAAGTTTTTCTTTAAAATTTTGGGAGGCAGTTTCTTCTAACAGACCAAAAAACACCAAAAATCTACTGTGTGGCTCTGATCTATTCATCAGCCTGATCATATATTTTTTTTCTTTGCCTTTCTTTCCCCACCAGTTTCAGGTCTCTTCTGATTTCTTAGTGTATATTTTTTGGGGGACCATTGTTACCCTATTAGCATTTTGTTCTCTCAATTTATCTGTTCTCCTCTGGACAAAATGACAAGATGGAAAAAATAACCTCAAAAAAAAAAGAACAAGAGGCAGTACCAATTGCCAGGGACCAAATCAATACAGGCATTAGTAAGATGTCGGAAACAGAGTTCAGAATGACGATTATAAAGATACTAGCTGGGCTAGAAAAAAGCATGGAAGATACTAGACAATCCCTTTCTGGAGAAATAAAAGAACTAAAATCTAACCAAGTCGAAATCAAAAAGGCTATTAATGAGGTGCAATAAAAAAATGGAGGCTCTAACTGCTAGGATAAATGAGACAGAAGAGAGAATTAGTGATATAGAAGACCAAACGATGGCAAATAAAGACGCTGAGAAAAAGAGATAAAACAACTACTGGATCACAAGGGCAGAATTCGAGAGATAAGTGGTACCATAAGACGAAACAGTATTAGAATAATTGGGATCCCAGAAGAAGAAAGAGAGAGAGGGGCAGAAGGTATCTTGGAGCAAATTATAGCAAGAGAACTTCCCTAATTTGGGGAAGGAAACAGCCATCAAAATCCAGGAGGCACAGAGAACTCCCCTCAAAATCAATAAAAATAGGTCAACACCCAGACATCTAATAGTAAAACTTACAAGTCTCACAGACAAAGAGAAAATCCTGACAGCAGCTCAGGACAAGAGGTCTGTAACCTACAATGGTAGAAACATTAGACTGGCAACAGACCTATCCACAGAGACCAGAAAGGCAGGCCAGAAAGGACTGGCAGGATATATTCAGAGCACTAAATGAGAAAAATATGCAGCCAAGAATACTATATCCAGCTAGGCTGTCATTGAAAATAGAAGGAGAAATAAAAAGTTTCCAGGACAAACAAAAACTAAAGGAATTTGCAAATACAAAACCAGCCCTTCAAGAAATATTGAAACGGGTCCTCTAAGCAAAGAGAGAGCCTGAAAGTAACATAGACCAGAAAGGAACACAGACAATATACAGTAACAGTCACCTTACAGGCAATACAGTGGCACTAAATTCCTATCTTTCAATAGTTACCCTGAATGTAAATGGGCTAAATGCCCCAATCAAAAGACACAGGTTATCAGACTGGATAAAAAAACAAAACCCATTGATATGCTGTCTGCAAGGGACTCATTTTAGACCCAAAGATACCTCCAGGTTGAAAGTGAGGGGGTGGAAAACCATTTACCATGCTAATGGACACCAAAAGAAAGCTGGGGTGGCAATCCTTATATCAGACAAATTAGATTTTAAACCAAAGACTGTAATAAGAGATAAGGAAGGACACTATTTCATACTTAAAGGTCTATCCAACAAGATCCAACAATTGTAAATATCTATGCCCCTAACATGGGAGTAGCCAATTATATAAGCCAATTAATAACAGAAGCAAAGAAACACATCGACAACAATACAATAATAGTGGGGGACTTTAACACACCCCTCACTGAAATGGACAGATCATCTAAGCAAAAGATCAACAAGGAAATAAAGACTTTAAATGACACACTGGACCAAATGGACTTCACAGATATATTCAGAACATTCCAACCCAAAGTAACAGAATACACATTCTTCTCTAGTGCTCATGGAACAATCTCCAGAATAGATCACATCCTAGGTCACAAATAGGTCTCAACAGGTACCAAAAGATTGGGATCATTCCCTGCATATTTTCGGACCACAATGCTTTGAAACTAGAACTCAATCACAAGAGGAAAGTCAGAAAGAACTCAAATACATGGAGGCTAAAGAGCATCCTACTAAAGAAGGAATGGGTTAACCAGGAAATTAAAGAAGAATTAAAATAATTCATGGAAACTAATGAAACTGAAAACACAACTCTTCAAAATCTTTGGGATGCAGCAAAGGCAGTCCTAAGAGGAAAAGTATATAGCAATACAAGCCTTTCTCAAGAAACAAGAAAGGTCTCAAATACACAACCTAACCCTATATCTAAAGGAGCTGGAGAAAGAACAGCAAATAAAGCCTAAACCCAGCAGGAGAAGAGAAATAATAAAGATCAGAGCAGAAGTCAATGAAATAGAAACCAAAAGAACAGTAGAACAGATCAATGGAACTAGGAGCTGGTTCTTTGAAAGAATAAGATTGATAAACCCCTGGCCTAACTTACCAAAAAGAAAAGGGAAACGACCCAAATAAATAAAATCATGAATCAAAGAGGAGAGATCACAACCAACACCAAAGATATGCAAACATTTATAAGAACATATTATGAGCAACAATATGCCAGCAAATTAGACAATTTGGAAGAAATGGATGCATTCCCGGAGACGTATAAACTACCAAGACTGAACCAGGAAGAAATAGAAAACCTGAACAGACCCATAACCAGTAAGGAAATTGAAGCAGTAATCAAAAAATCTCCCAACAAACAAGAGCCCAGGGACAGATGGCTTCCCAGGGGAATTCTACTAAATATTGAAAGAAGAATTAATACCTATTCTTCAGAAACTGTTCCAGAAAACAGAAATGGAAGGAAAACTTCCAAACTCATTTTATGAGGCCAGCATCACCTTGATCCCAAAACCAAAGACCCCATCAAAAAGAATTACAGACCAATATTCCTGATGAACATGGATGCAAAAATTCTTACCAAAATACTAGCCAATAGGATACAACAGTACATTAAAAGGATTATTCACTACGACCAAGTGGGATTGATTCCTGGGCTGCAAAGTTGGTTCAATATCTGCAAATCAATCAATGTGATACAATACATTAATAAAAGAAAGAAGAACCATATGATCCTCTCAAATAGATGCAGAAAAAGCATTTGACAAAGTACAGCATCTTTTCTTGAGTAAAACTCTTCAGAGTATAGGGATAGAGGGTACATACCTCAATATCATAAAAGCCATCTATGAAAAACCCACAGCGAATATCATTCTCAATGGGGAAAAACTGAGAGCTTTTCCCTTAAGGTCAGGAAAACGGCAGAGATGTCCACTATCACCACTGCTATTCAACATAGTACTAGAAGTCCTAGCCTCAGCCGTCAGACAACAAAAAGAAAAAAAAGGCATCCGAATCGGCAAAGAAGTCAAACTCTCACTCTTTGAAGATATGATACTTGATGTGGAAAACCCAAAAGACTCCACCCCAAAACTGCTAGAACTCATAAAGGAATTCAGTGAAGTGGCAGGATATAAAATCAATCCACAGTGGCATTTCTATACACCACCACGAAGACAGAAAAAAGAGAAATTAAGGAGTCGATCCCATTTCCAATTGCACCCAAAACCATAAGGTACCTAGGAATAAATCTAACCAAAGAGGCAAAGAATCTGTACTCAGAAAACTATAGACTACTCATGAAAGGAATTGAGGAAGACACAAAGAAATGGAAAAAACATTCCATGCTCACAGATTTCAAGAACAAATATTGTGAAAATGTCTATGCTACCTAGAGCAATCTACACATTTAATGCAATCCCTATTAAATACCATCCACTTTTTTCAAAGAAATGGAACAAATAATCCTAAAATTTGTATGGAACCAGAAAAGACCCTGCATAGCCAGAGGAATGTTGAAAAAGAAAAGCAAAGCTGGTGGCATCACAATCCTGTACTTCAAGCTCTATTACAAAGCTGTAATCATCAAGCACAAAAACAGACACATAGATCAATGGAACAGAATAGAGAGCCCAGAAATGGACCCTCAACTCGATGGTCAACTAATCTTCGACAAAGCAGGAAAGAATGTCCAGTGGAAAAAACAGTCTCTTCAACAAATGGTGTTGGGAAAATTGGACAGCCACATGCAGAAGAATGAAACTGGACCATTTTCTTACACCACACACAAAAATAGACTAAAAATGGATGAAAGACCTAAATGTGAGTCAGGAATCCATCAAAATCCTAGAGGAGAACACAGGCGGCAGCAACTTCTTCAACCTCAGCTGCAGCAGCTTCTTCCTAGATACATCACCAAAGGCAAGGGAAGCAAGGGCAAAAATGAACTATTGGAACTTCATCAAGATAAAAAGCTTTTGCACAGCAAAGGAAACAGTCAACAAAACCAAAAGACAACCAACAGAGAATGGCTGAAGATATCTGCAAATAACATATCAGATAAAGGGCTAATACCCAAAATCTATAAAGGACTTATCAAACTTAACACCCAAAGAACAAATACTCTAATCAAGAAATGGGCAGAAGACATGAACAGACATTTCTCCAAAGAAGACATCCAAATGGCCAACAGACACATGAAAAAGTGCTCAACATTGCTTGGCATCAGGGAAATCCAAATCAAAACCTCAATGAGATACTACCTCACACCAGTCAGAATGGCTAAAATGAACAAGTTAGGAAATGACAGATGTTGGCGAAGATGCAGAGAAAGGGGAACCCTCTTACACTGTTGGTGGGAATGCAAGCTGGTGCAGCCACTCTGGAAAACAGTATGGAGGTTCCTTTAAAAGTTGAAAATAGAGCTACCCTACGACCCAGCAATTGCACTACTGGGTATTTACCCCAAAGATACAAATGCAGGGATCCAAAGGGATACATGCACCCCAATGTTAATAGCAGCAATGTCCACAATAGCCAAAGTGTGGAAAGAGCCAAGATGTCCATCAACAGATGAATGGATAAAGAAGACGTAGTGTATATATATATATATTTCATTGTGTGTATATATATATACACACACACAATGAAATATTATGCAGCCATCAAAAAACCGAAATCTTGCCATTTGCAATGACATGAATGGAACTAGAGGGTATTATGCTAAGTGAAATATGTCAATTAGAGAAGGACAAGTATCATATGATCTCACTGATATGAGGAATTTGAGAAACAAGACAGAGGATCATAGGGGAAGGGAGGAAAAAATGAAACAAGATGAAACCAGAGAGGGAGACAAACCGTAAGAGACGCTTAATCTCACGAAACAAACTGAGGGTTGCTGGAGTGGTAGGGGGATGGGAGAGATGGGGTGGTTGGGTGATGGACATTGGGGAAGTTATGTGCTATGGTGAGTGCTGTGAATTGTGTAAGACTGATGAATCATAGACCTGTACCTCTGAAACATAATACATTATATGTTAATTAAAAAAAAAGAAGACAGTAGGAAGGGAAAAATGAAGGGGGGGAATCGGAGGGGGAGACGAACCATGAGAGACTATGGACTCTGAGAAACAAACGGAGGGTTTTAGAGGGGAGGGGGGTGGGGGGATGGGTATTAAGGAGGGGACGTATTGCATGGAGCACTGGGTGTTATATGCAAACAATGAATCATGGAACACTACATCAGAAACTAATGATGTAACGTATGGTGACTAACATAACATAATAAAACTAAAAAAAAAAAAAAGGAAAGCACCGACTACAACTGCCAATAATGAATCAGATCAACAGCCATCGTTCCTCCAGTCATCCTTCTGAAGGGAAGGATGCTTTAATGCCAGCACTCCTAATTTCATCCTGTACTAAACCAAAACCATAGTCCGGGTTTTCTACATAACTTCCCAGGTGACTTGCTACATTCTAAAGAAAATCACACAAGTAGCTAAGCTAACTCCGGGTAATTACAAACTTTGAAGAGAAGCAAGTAACACTCATCTTAGGAAAGTAAGAAAGAAGGAAAATAGAGTGGAGAGTGGAGAGGACAAATAAGCAGCAATTCCTGCCCCGTTCCTTTCCCGCCTATCATAAGTAAGTCCGATTAAAGAAACCATTCCTTTCCTGTAAAAAGCTGAGTATTTAACTGTGCATAACATCAATCAAAACCACTCACAGGCTGGTTGATATGAAATCTTGTGGGCATTCTTCTCATGATGGCTGAGTCAAGATCCTGAGGACGGTTAGTAGCTCCCATCACTATGACCTGGGCAGATAAAGAAAACACAAGGTATTACATCTACCGGTAATGGCTCCTTCAGGATATTATTACTAGAGCTTAGAAGATACAAAAATTAAGGAGTGTTTAAATCTTCTATAAGAAATTATTTTAATCCAGTATTACTCAAAAATTTATAAATACAAATCAAAGTTAATCCTAAATAGATCAAATCATAGCAAAGCTGGTAAGACTGATGCATTTCACCAGTCTTTCATAACTAAAATAACATGCTGTTCAGTTAACGAAGAATTATAAAGATTTAAAGTAAAAAAGGTAGTATTTTGCGGTACATGGTTCTCTACGGCTGCATGATGAATAACTAAGAGTCATGTATGTTACAGCTTGGGAGGCTATATGGGGGGTACTAAAAGTCCTTTGATATTAATATAAAGGAATCATTTCCCCCGAGTCTGAGGATTCTGGCGATAAGAAGAGATAACTGTGTACTTTTCCCTCTAGATTTCACATCACCATTTCACGGCATTTATCAGCACTGCTGGTGACATCTTCTCAATGATATAATACAACCTCAAGCGATCAAACTTTCAACAAGGGCAAGAGAATAAGAGCAAACATCAAACCTAAGAGCAAACATCAAAATGCTGGGTAGAATTTAAAAAAAGAAAAAAGAATGGGGTGCTTGGATGGCTCAGTCAGTGGACAGTGCAACTCTTGATCATGTGTTCTCTACCCAACGTGTAGAGATTACTAAAAAAAAAAAAAAAAAAATTAAAAAAAGGGAAGAAGAAAAGAAAATGCAATCTCTGGGTCTATATCACTTTCTTTATAAAGGATGTGGACATGAAAAATCAACACAAATAAAGACAAAATATCCAAAACAAGTTAATTTCTGAAAGGCTTCAATATTACCATTATTGTTGGTATTTCTGTATAACCCAATAATGGCCCACATCTGCTACCCAAAATGAAATTTACTGGTATTCTAATGAAAACTTTTAATATAATTTTATTTCAGCCTAAGGGGTTTTAGATTTCTGAAATAATCTAACTCCAGAACATGTTGAAAGACCCACTAAATCTTATATTCTACTTCTACTCTTTACATTTAATGACATTCAAGAGCCAAATTATTTTCAATTTAACTGTGAGAGGTTGCCACCTAGAGGGAAAAAATGTAAATACAAGCATAAATTTGAGAAATGTTAGTTCCACGATGCAATTTTGTACTTAAGTTGTCCTAAAATAAAAATATTAATGCTCTTATTTTTCCAATTTACTGACTTTCTACAACCCTAGAAAATAAGTAAAATTTCTATGAAATGTAAAACAAAAAAATTTTTTTTCTTTTTAATGTAGGATCCATGCCCAGCTTTACGCAAAGCCCAACTAGGGGCTTGAACTCACGAACCTGAGATCAAATCCTGGGCTGAGATCAAGAGTTGACCGCTTAACTGAGTGAGCCACCCAGGCGCCCCAAGACAAAAAAAAGTCTTAAAAATGATCAAAGGAACTGCGTAAGATAAAGAATGAATATAAGTACATTTTGAGATAGAGCATACTTTAAGTGTTAAAAGAGTTTCAAAGTGGGAAGCTTGTGGAAGACTGGACATATCAGATTGTAGAGAATCACAAAAGACATTGTGGCTGAGACAGTACTTTAAAAAACCTGAAAAATGGGCTGTATTTTGAGAAACATTCTAGGTGAACAAACAGCCTTTTAAAAAACAAAAGCCAGTATGGAAGATAGGATGCTAAAAATTAGGATCAAGGAATTTAAATAAATCTAGCACAACATGATGTAACAAATACATATAGGATGGTAACATATTCACGATGATAAAAAAGCAAGAGTGATTCAAACTACCTGTTTCACTTAAAGTTTTTTTTTTTTTTTTAAAGATTTTATTTATTCGACAGAACGAGAGAGCAGGAGAGCACTAGCAGTGGAAGCCGCAGAGGGAGAGGGAGAAGCAGGCCCCCTGCCGAGCAGGGAGCCCGATGCGGGGCTCAATCCCAGGACCCTGGGACCATGACCTGAACCGAAGGCAGTTGCCTAACCAACTGAGCCACCCAGGCGCCCCAAAGAAGTTGTTTTAAGGAGCGATTATAAGAGGCAAAAACGGATAAACTGTACACAATACGTTAACTCTAGTGCAACTGAGCTAAAATTCAAAATGGGAACAGTAATTTTTTAGTATTTAAGCAGAAAAATTAGCGCTTTAGTAGATTTTTAGAATCTTTATGTCTCATGTCTCTGCAGATGAAGAACATGTCATCAGTTAACCTGGATTTCCAGAACTGGTGACAGGTTGACTTGGGCCACTCAGTGATTTTTGTTTCCACTGTGGCATATCATACACACAAGAAAAAGCAGGGGTACTGGGCTAGATCCATAATAATAGACAATTTTAGAGAAAAACTAACTGGTTCATATGAAAGAATATGTCTAAAACTAATATTCAAGTTAACAATATCAAATTTAATCCCCTCAACACACAGAAAAGGTAAAAAAAAATGTTACCAGAGTTTAACAAAAGCCACATCTTTATTTGCTCCTACAAATATAGATTTATCACAACGAAAATAGTGAACACTGTCAGTGTAATGAAGAACTGTGGTTCTGAAAGCTCAGTTTTAGGTTGTACTGTATCAGACCCGTGCTGTGTGGCTCTGGAGTATACTTGATCCAACTGCTACTATTTCCATGACTTTCAAAACTACACTCTGTTACGATATAATATGAAACAATTTTCTCTTACACGGCTAACTAAGTGCTTTAAATACTGTTGCTCAGGAGGATAATCAGTGTTTGGAAACCTATAAAGTATTACCATTGAACAGCTTTATAAGCATCAATTATTAATAAAAATTATTCCTATTAATGTCACCTAAATTTATCTAAGTTGTGCTTTCTTCTCTAGTCATCCAACAAACACTAAAGGAACTTTCTTTCATAATGAAATTGTGTTTTCATAAAGGGGATGTAGAAGGAGGACACGTGGCTTAATGTTCTCCTTGAGGAGAATATTTTAACTTTTGATTTATGGTAATGTGGTGGGCGCAGGAGATCCTTAAACCCTCTGGCTATAAAACGAAAATAATGAAGTATAAAAAACCTCAAATTAATCAACAAATCTGCAAAAATGTAAAGGAACTGAGGTGAGCCAGCAGTGAAGTCTATGCATAAGGGAAGTAATAAGCAAGGGGAGAAGGTCACCATGTACCACGTGGAAATGTACAGATCTTAGACAGTGGGGTATACACAGGACACCTTACAGGCTTAAAGAGACCACCCTACATAAAGCTGGGACTCATGAAGTACTAGGTCCTGAAAAAAGTGGTGAAATATTAGAAAACACATTCAGGAGAGTCAAGCTTTGGTTCTTGTAAAGACATATAAACACATAAACACACACACACAATCTGAGATTTCAGGTTCTTCACCAGCTAACATGGATCTTGGATCTGAATCTACCTATTGGTATTGAAAAAAATCTGGCAGAAGACAAATACAAAATCCTCTTTGGGCCGTGTGGGCCATAAACCTTCAACACAAGTTCCAAAAATTCAAACAAAAAGTTTTACCAAATATGGTTTTTCCTACGAAATCACAAAACACACAAGGGAATAGCCACCATAAACTCAGAACAAATGACAGAACCAGATGTGCAGTCATAGGTTAGAATTGTTGGATACAACTATAAAATTAGTATTTTAACACATTTAAAAGAATAAAGAAGGTATCAGAAAAATCATAAGTAAATACTTATGCAGTAAATATATACTGGGCAAGCTAAAAGCACTTTACTCAGATTCCTTGAAACCCTACAACGGTTCTGAGGTGGATCCTACCCATCCCCTTTTATAGACAGTTCTCCCTCCTTTCAGATACAGAGTGACTGTATTATTTGGCCAAGGTCACACAGCTAGTTGATTCCAGGGCTTTAGTTTTCTAATCGAGCAGGAAACATGAGTTGATGGGGAAGAGCCCATCAAAACTGACCTGGCAGACTTCAAGAAGGATTTAAAAGAATTTCTAGAACTGGCGGGGGAAATAAAAAAAAAGAATTTCTAGAACTGAAAAATATAATAAGTGAAATAACAAGCTCAATAAAAAGATTAAATACCAGAAGAGATACAACTGAACCTAGAATTAGCAAATTAAAAGAAGTAAAAGATTACCCAGACTGTAGCACAGAGAGAGAAAAAATATGAAAGAGAAGTTAAAACACATGGAATATAAGTAAGGTACATCCAATTGGCATTCCATAAGGAGATCCCATGGGGAATGGAGGAGAAACAATATTGGAAGAAATAATGGTGAATTTTTTAGAAGTGATGAAAGAAATAATTCTAAATATGAAAGGGCAAAAACAGATCACAAAATAGAAAATACCTACTAAAGTTAAAACAGCAAAACACCATCATTAACTTTTCCAGTACTCTTCCATGTGATATAAAATAGGTGATTCATGAAAAAAACAAAAAACAAGAACAGAAAAGTGGTTCTAGAACTTCCATTTCCAGTATTAATGGCAGAAAAACAAACATGCCAGGTGAATTTTTTAAAAATTTTAAAATACATTATTGTTCTGGCAAGAAAGTATGGAACATTCAGAGGCGAAGAACTAAGAGAAAATGGGAACCCCGAGAGGTAAACTGAAGCATACAGGTGCATTCCCTTCGGGGTATACCAAAGGACCTAGTTCTGGTGCTCACAGCCCTGCAGGGAGAACAGACAAGGCCCAGGCTAGAAGACTGTCTTTTATAAAATTGGATCCTGAGAAAGGTGCATATGGCAGGAAGTGGGAAAGTGTGTATGTTCCAGCAACTAATGAAAACAGCAAAAGGAAATGAAGGTCAGTGACAGAAGAATGGAGAATAAAGATTTATGGTAAGGGTCTAAGAAACGCTCATACAGGACCCACAGCCACTAGGAAGAGTCTAAAAACTCCAAGGAGAGGCTTTACCCTGGTTTTCTCTTCTCTGTTGTATTTGTTTCAGGCACTTAGGTAATCTTTTAACACTTTCTTTAACATGAAGCCCTCAAAATGGATGAAAATGTGCACAAATCATGCTTTCAGATCCCCATCATTTAATAAGTATAAATTGTTATTAAAAAAAAAAAACACTTTTCTAAAAAAGCCTATGAAGTAGCCCAGCGAATTTTCTCTTTCCCACCCCCCACCCCCCGCCACGAGCTTGCAACAGATTTCTTTCACACACCTGGCAGCTGTGATCAGTGTCCAGTCCATCCCACAGACTCATAAACTGAGCTTTCATCATGGCTGTGGCTTCATGGTCAGAACTTGAACGGTTTCGCAGAAAGGAGTCTAGAAGGAAAAAGTCCTCAACCTTAGAAATACTGAATTATTTACTCTTCCTATAACTTCAAATCCTTAATCAAAGCTGACAACTTTGTGAAAGAGTACAAGAAAAAGAGTTCATTGATGCCTTTTCACACATTAGTCTGATACAATAATTCTGGCAAATAACTGGGCAAATTAAAACACAATCAACTCCCAATCTTCATTTCTTTGCTAAAAATACTTTCATGCCAACATATTTAAAGTAGTACAGGATCTGGTACTGAGAGGCTGGAAGAAGATCAAGTAGTGTCTTGGAGGAAGGTCTGTGCGCTTTGGCCCTAACTTTCCAGGTTATCTGCATCCTATGTATTCTTAATTATGGGGTAGCATTCTTTTTCCTCACATAGTTTTCCTGGAAATAAAGAAAAATTACATTGGAAAATGTCAAAACACTACTAAGTGGGAAATGCGGGACAGAAAATGATTTCAAACACACATGCTAGCATGCATGTGTGTATACGTTATGTAATGTGAAAAAGCCTTTAATAAAGTACACCAAAGGGCACCTGGGTGGCTCAGTTGGTTGGGCGACTGCCTTCGGCTCAGGTCATGATCCTGGAGTCCCAGGATCAAGTCCTGCATCAGGCTCCCTGCTCAGCAGGGAGCCTGCTTCTCCCTCTGACCCTCCCCCTTCTCATGTGCTATCTCATTCTCTCAAATAAATAAATATCTTTTAAAAAAAAAAAGAAACCTGTCCCATCTAAAGGGGCAGCTGGAAAAAAAAAAAAGTACAACAAAACGCTAATTGCTTTAGTTCTTTCTCAGTCATAGACTTAAGGACAATTCAAATTTTCCCTTGAATTATTTTCTGTCTTCCAATTATCTACAAAGAATATGAAATGCTTTTGAAAGGGGGGGAAAACATTTTCCTTCTAGAATGAAAAGACCTGGAAGACAGGACATCCTAAGAATGAAAAAAAGACAGTAAAAATAAATCCTGGATTGCCTAGTATAATCCTATTTCAAATGTTTTCTTATATCCCTTCAAATAAATGGCAGAATTCTGAGTACATTTTACATTTTAGCACTGAAACTACAACTTGAAGTCTGTCAATCTATATGTGCAAGTAGAACAGAAATGCTTTGCAAAGGTCCATCCAGGCTTTAAAAAAAAGTTGTTTTTTTTTTTAAGTAATTATGGCAAAACCACAATACCACAAGATGACAGAGTCTTCTTTTTTTTTTTTTAAAGATTTTATTTATTTATTTGAGAGAGAGAGAATGAGAGAGAACACATGAGAGGGGGGAGGGTCAGAGGGAGAAACAGACTCCCCGCTGTGCAGGGAGCCCGATGTGGGACTCGATCCCGGGACTCCACGATCATGACCTGAGCCGAAGGCAGTCGCTTAACCAACTGAGCCACCCAGGCGCCCGATGACAGAGTCTTCTGATGGCAAATATATATCCTGGATTTTCTTATGTAGTTCCAATTTTATACAGTCTGTCCCATTGTTGGGACTATGTACCAAACTAACCCATCTACTCTGGATGTAGAAAATGCTGTCATTTTTAAATTGCTTCTTTTTAAAGATAATATGTGTGAGGTACAGCCGCCTACCTAACCACCATAACTCTGCTATTAATTAGTCCTAAATTATCTTCATTACTAAGCAGCTGGTTCTGGCAAGACAGCTGCTTAAAATAATATGAAAAACTTAAAGTGCTGGATAAGTATAAATAACCTAACCATATCCGTAATTACATTAAATTGTAGACGGTCTTAGAGTACCCATGTACATGGTTAAGAAATTAGACTGGATTTTAAAAAAACAAACAAAAAACAACAACCCAACTGTCTGCTGCTTACGAGATACACTTTGAACCTAAGAGCTCAGATGCTGAAAAGAATGGAAAAAGACATGTATGTAAATACTGACAACAAAGGTGGAAAAATGTATTATTTTAAACTTAATGCATTCATGACAAATGGTGCTAGAACAACTGGAAATCCATGTGCAAAAAAATATATCTAGACACAGACCTTACACTTTTTCACAAAAATTAACTCAAAATAGATTACAGATCTAAATGTAAAACACAAAACTATGAAACTTCTAGAAGATAATACAGGAGAAAATCTAGGTGACTTTGGGTTTGGTGATGAGTTTTTACATACAACACCAAAAGCATAATTGATCAAAGAAAAAGGATGGTTAAGTTGGACTTTATTAAAATTCTGAATAAAGAACCCCCCCCCAAAAGAAAAAGAATTACAAATTCTGTCCTGTGGAAGACACTGTTAAGAGAAGAAATAAGCCACAAAATGGGAAAAAAGATTTATAAAATACCTATCTGATAAAAAAACTGGTATCCAAAATATACAAAGAACACTTAAAATTCAACAATAAGAAAACAAGCCAGTTAAAGAATGGGCAAAAGATCTGAACACACACTTCACAGAAGATAACACAGATGGCAAATAAGCACATGGAAAGATGCTCAACATCATATGTCATTAGGAAACTGCAACTTTAAATAATAATGAGATACAACGACACACTTAATAGGATAGCTAAAATCCAAAAAACTGGTAATTTATCAAGTGATGGGAGAGGATGGTAAGCAACAGGACCTCTCAAATAAATGAGTGGAATTGCAAAATTGTATAGTCATTTTGGAAGGCAGTTTGGTAATTTCTTAGAAAGCTAAGCATAGTTTTACCATAAAATCTAGCAAATGCACACCTAGGTATTTACCCAATTGAGATGAAAATGTATGTCCACACAAAACCTGGCAAATCACTGCTGTTAGCAGTATTATTCATCACTGCCCCAAACTGGAAGCAAACAAGATGTCCTTCAATAGATGAATGGATAAACAGTGGTAAAACCATACAATGGAATATTACTCAGCAATAAAAAGAAATGAGCCACCAAGCTACAAAAAGACATGAAGAAACCTTAAAAGCATATTGCTAAGTGGAAGTAGCCATCTGAAAAGGCTCCATATTGTATGATTCCAAGTATGATATTCTGTAAAAGGTAAAGAGTAAAAAGATCAGTGGCTGCTGGGAGTTCGGGAGTTTAGGACAAGCAGATGGAGCACAGGGGATTTTCAGGGTGCCTGATACTATGGTAGACAGAGGACATTATGCATGTGTCAAAGCTTATAGAACTGGAAACACAAAGAATGACCCTTAATATAAACTATGGACTTCAGTTACTAATAATGTATCAATACTGGCTCATAAATTCTTTTTTGTTTTTTGTTTTTTTTTGCTGGCTCATAAATTCTAACAAATATATTACACTAATGCAAAATAGTGATAATAGGGGAAACTCTGTGTGTGCAGGGGGAGGGAAGATGGAAATTCTCTGTACTTTCTTCTGCTCGATTTTTCTGTAAACTTAACTGTTCTAGGGGCAGCTGGATGGCTCAGTTGGCTGAGCCACCAACTGACTCTTGGTTTCGGCTCAGGTCGTGATCTCAGGGTGGTGAGACTGAGCTCCGTGTGGGGCTCCATGCTCAGCGGGGAGTCGGCTTGAGATTCTCTCTCCCTCTCTGCGCTCTCTCTCAAATAAATAAATCAATCTAAAAAAGAAAAACTGTTCTAAAAAAACAAAGTCCAGTCATTTTTTAAAAAAGCTTAATGAGTACCTGAGATTGAAGGAAAAAAGGGGAAAAAAACCTCAAGAGTTCGGGAAAAGAGGAAGCAGGAAACAAGTGGTGAGAATGTGAGGTGATTATGCCACTGTGTGTGTGCGTTTGTGGACACAGCAGATATGCGTGTACAGCACTGGAAGGTTCTGCGTCAATGTTAATATCCACGCTGGAACCACGATGCTCAAAAGAATGCACTCACAGAAAAAAATTCTGCTCACTACTACAGAGAGTTAAAGAAGTTTGTCTTGGTCTGGGCTCTGGGAATAAACAAGTCTCCCCTGAAAAATAAAAAACCAAGACCACGGGGCGGGGGGTCTCTCTCAGGCGTGAAGTCTGGATTTGGACTGTCATTCATTCAGTCTAGAAACATCCAAGTTGAGAAATTATCATAAAAATTGGTTGTGAGTGATTAGACCCCACAGGCTCTTTGTGGAAGATAAGAAAACTACTCTTGATTGTTCTCAGGCAAGGAAGAATTCTCATATAAAAACACACTGTATGCTATCTAATGTCAGAAATGACCCAAGGAAACAAATTCGTATGAAAAGAGTTAACAATACAAAGGAGTAGAATTTCAGACCACAGAAAAAAACAATCCAAAAAAAACTATATAAAAATAGGATGTTTAAAACTGAGACATAAAAGGGATTGAAATTCAAACAGAAGAGCAAACTATGGTGAAAAAAGATAAATCTGAAAAAGAATCAAACAGAACTTCTAAAGCTCAAATATCATTAACAGGACACATACCCAGTGGTCGTGACATAAACACAGCCAAGCAAAGAACTGCTTTTTATACCTTACTCAAAGATTAACTGATTTTTAGTTGTACCATTATTTTATGCATCAACAAAGTTTTAAATGTTGTCAGTTATAATGTTAAAAGAAGAAAAAGCTGCCAATTATAACATGCTATCCCAATTTCAGAAAGGTTAAAATGTAAATGACAAAACGGTATATTTTAGAACTGATGAAATATGGTAGAAAACTCGATGATAAAACTGTGGAAATGACTCAAAATTAAGCAGAGGTGAAGTGGGTGTATGCACATTCATATATGTATATTTTTTACAAAATGTAAGTCTTGCAAAACCATAATCAAATAGGAGAACAAGATAAAAATCTAATAGCACTACAGAGAAAAGATAAATTACTTACAAAGAAATATTTGACTACAAGCAGAATTCTCAAAAGCAACAACAATGACTGGAAGACAATGGACTTGTAGCCTCAAAATAATGAAGGAAAATAATTCTCTATCATTTAAGAGTGAAGGTAGAATTAACACATTCTCATCCAAAGACAGAATTTACTGTATTCATGATCTTTGCTGAAAGAACTTTGACAGATTTTGGTTAAGAAGGATATTAAATCCAGAAAAGGCAGGTGTTCAAGAAGCAACAGTGAGCAAACTGGCAAATGTGGGTCTCTAAACAAGTACCACCAGTGTACAAATAACAACCAGTATGGAGTATACAAAATAAGAGAAAATGTTAACATGTAAGAGATGAGTGGAATGATTAGTGTTTAAGAGTTGTAAGGTCCCTATATTATTTGGGAGGAGGACAGAAATGGTTAGCCTAGACTTTTAAGGCAAGTAGGTATGCTAAATGTTTCACTAAAAGAAAAACAATACATAACTTCAAAAACTTCGGCAAGGTAAAGGAGATAAAGTAAAAAAAAGTCCACTAGACTGGTAAATAAAAAGCACATAGTGATATAAGAGAAATATATCTAAATATATCAGCTAGCAAAATAAAGGCAATCTGACCACACCTCCTAGTTAAAGCATCTTAGATTAAAATCTTTAAAAATCTAGCTATTTGCGCTTTTGTGCAAAATTCACACCCAAACTCCAAAACTGTTTCAATAAATTTTTGAGAGACACACACAAGGCAAACAAGTAACCAAAATACCATACACCTGTACCTATTTTTCTCTCTAGATTTCTATACAGTCTATCATATTACATATAATAGTATAATTAATTCAAAGCTGTAGTTTTAAATTGCTATAGCTTTACTATGACTCACCATACCAGGAACAGAACAAAAGTACTGATGATCCATAAAATACAGAAAAAGTGCACTAATACAAAAGTCATGACATATAGGGAAAAATGATCTATTTTATAAGTTGGCTGTCCATGTGGAGAAGAATGAAATTAGATTCCTACTTCACACTATATATTTTAAAAAGAGGAATATTTATGGTGATAGTGAAGGGATTTGTAAGCCAGACACAAAAAGTATAAATAAGGAAAAAAGATGGATAAATACAACTGAATTTAAATCCCTGTAAAAGAAACTATCATAAAGTGAAAACACAAGTTTAGAAACTAGTTCAGTCTAGAAAATATTTGCAATCATAATAAACATCAACAAAGAATTACCTAGAAAATGCAAATAACCCCAAAGAAAAACTAGCAATTTAAAAGCAAGGAAACCCAAATGACTAGTCAACATGTCCAAAGATGCCCAAATTTGCTAGCAACGCAGGGAAACACAAAACAACGATGAGATAATTCATGTTCTTTAAAGTGACAAAAAATCAACGATAATGTCTGAAAAAATAAATTTTAGGGAAACTATATAATGGTGAGAGTGGAAACAGGCATGAGTGAGGTTGAAGACAGACCCATCACACAACCTCATGGCTCAACTTCCAGGCATCTACCCTGGACAAACAGAGATGCGTAAGGAAACAGGTATGCGTTGTCATTGCGTGCTGCCTGCTAACAGGGAGAAGACAGAAAATTACTATCAAGTAAGGTCATGAACAGATTATGGTTCATTTTCTAATATGGAAATTTATACAGAGCATATATGGATGTTGATTACCTATTTTGTTTTCTTAATTTGATCTAATAAATGTTAAAAACTAAATCCGGTCATCTAAATACCACCCTTGAGAATGGCGCTTTAAAATGCTCATATAGAAAGGTTGCATACCTATTTCATCTATAAAAATGATGGACGGCTGCAGCTTTATGGCAAGGGAGAAGACAGCAGCCGCCAGTTTCTGAGATTCTCCATACCACTTATCGGTCAGCGTTGAAGGCTGAAGGTTAATAAATCGACAGCCTGCTTCTTTGGCGGTAGCCTTGGCAATCAATGTTTTACCACAGCCTGGAGGCCCATAGAGAAGCACACCTGGAAATAAACATGTTATTTTATCATTTCCTTTAAGAGAACGGGGTATTTGCTTTAGCTTATGTGATAACCAACATAATATTAATGCTGCCTACACTAAAATTTTCCCCAGCATTCACTTGTTATTGATAATCTTTTTTGAATAGTAGAAAAGGAAGGCGCCACTTTCTCGAAGTTCAGTGTCAGTGATGACACATATTTGGGGTTATAATCATAGCACGCTTGTGTTTCCTCCCTTCATGGAAAGAAGACAATCACACTCCCGCCTCTTGACCAACAGCTGACAAAATGGTCTAACACCGCCCACCTTCACAAGCTAATAAAGCACAACAGCGCATCACCAGTAGCCCAGAGAAAACCGAGAACTTCTTCAGAACTGACTGCAGCCAACACTCTTTCACTGTTACTTGGCAAACTTAAGTTTTGGCCAAAAGGGCATGAGACTTTTCCCACCCAGATAAAGATCTCCTCTTAAAAGGAGCAAAAGCCGCCAGTCACTCCTGTTTTAATTTCCAAGGAATAAAACTGTATTATTAACCTAAAGTCTCCACTGACAGCAGTTTACTGCTTAATACAATTTAAGGTAATGCTTTTAATATGAGAAACTGGTCGAGGTCTTAAGCATTTTGGGAATCATCACCAACTGTTTTTCAACTAAAATGAGGAAACATTTTCGTAAGTTAATACTAAAATCCCGACCATAGGTCTGACAAAAATTGTAATCTACAGACTTAAACATCTGCTTAATTCAGAGCTTCTCTACTTTTCTTATGTAATTGCACTTAAAAAAACAGTCTTTACAGATGGCATGCTGGGGTAAAATGAAGAGGCTTTGGAGATTTCCAAAATATTCTTATTATATAATAAAAATAAAATACAAAATATAAGAAAAATAAATATTTTGTACTAAAGTCCCACCCTGCCCAAATTTTCTTTTTTTTTTTAATGAGAAACTTGAGCTTGATTCCATAAAACTAACAAATTTTTTCACATCAAGCTCTTCAAAATAATGTTCAAACTTTTCTTCTGGCACACACAGATTTTTCTGGTCTTAAAAATTCTTTAAGATTCAACTAAGCCAAGTTTAATCATCTTAAACTAAACTTTTCTGAAGCTATTTTAAAATTTAAACCAGTAAGTTTTGCCAGAACATGTTAGTATTTCCATGCAGCCCTTTGCAAGTTTTAATTAAGTTCATTTACGTGTAAAAAATTTAGTTAAGTCAGTTATACTTTGAACCCTCTACTGACACTTTTCTTTTGGATGGCAACATGTGAATACAGAATAGTTGTCTAATGTCATTTAATTCAAATCAAACTGAAAACATATGGGATGACTGCAGAAACTTGGAATTATTATTACATTTGTATTTTGATCATATAATTTGATATGGAATGCAGATCTATGAACAAACTTTTATATACATATTACTTGAATCTTAGGGTTTTTTTGAACAATCTATTGATGCAAAAGTCCTCATATCTTGTTGATTTTGCAGCTACACCGTCACTTTATAACCTTGGCAAGTATTCGTAGAATGTCCTCTTTGTTTCACAGTATCCATTTATCACTTGGAATATTTTATTCCTAATAGTTCAGTTTTGGCACTTCTGCAGGATTAAGTTTTTCCTATTACTGCTCTTCAAGGATTATAATTAGGGTTATTAAGCAGTTTTTTTTTTTCCTAACTAATGTCTGAAGATTTAACATGCAATGAAAGCTTTGGGATTTCATAATCTGCTGGAGGACAGAGATGTGACAGATGAGGGAGCAGGTGGGGGCAGTCACTGGTCACTTCCTGACCTGGGTGGTAGTTATGTGTTAGCTTTATAATTATCCATTCAACCGCTTTATCCCCATTTCTGTATGTATGTTGTTTCACCAAGATTCATGTTGTTTCATCTGGCATGTTATTAATGAGTCTAGCGGTTTTTAAAAGTGGCACCTCTTCTGTATCCTTTGTTCATGTTTATGAAGAGTGATACATGAATGGTCCTGCAAATGAATGTGAGGCATTCGGCTTCAATTATAGTTTTGCAACCTTTTAAATAGTTTTTCTGAGCTCAGTCCGATACTTTTAGAACCAATTTCAACAAAACAAAAAACTGTGCCTATTACTTCGTGCTTTGTAGAGGATAAACTCAAACCCCTCTTTTTTTTGTTTTAATGTTTTAAATGAGAACTTTTATTTATTTATATGTTATGTTATGTTATGTCACCATACAGTATTTCATCAGTTTTGGTAAGGCTTTACTTCATAAATACTGCACACAAAAGATTTAGGATGAGGAAGAAAAGGAGAATTGGGACAAAAGATCTAAATCTGAAATAATCCGAGTGACAAATACCTTACTAGTAACCAACTTTTTTCTTTTTTGAGCTAGTTTACTGATTTTCAAGCTTTAATAAAAAATTTGTCTAAAAGGTGGAAAAATTAGTATCTGTAAAAACTAAATCTATTTAAATACAAAGTACTCAAAGAAGTGGGGTGGGGGGGAAGGAGGCTTTTACAGTCCCAGAAAAATGACTTTTCAAAATATATTTTTTCTAAGTTACTTAACAATTTCATGATGCATTGAACATGGAACATGGTGAAATTCACAAACATAAAACTTTTGTGCCAAAATAATGATAACTGAAGTTAGAGTTTATAGAAAGAACTATATAGCATTCAGATGGAATTTTAATTGTAAATTTTGGAATAACGAAGGGTTACTTTTTTAATACAACCATTAATATTTTATGGCATGTTCTTGTAACCACTTATTGGCCTGACAGCTGCAACTTTATACCTTTATGTGATTGTATGATTTCATGTGCTTGTATATTATAAGTCATTCTCAAATTATCCTCTGAGGCAGTGATGACTTTTGGCTTAGATAGCAATGAACTGTCTAGGGATAACATAAAATTGGCAATAAAGCAATGACTCTAGCCTAGGTAACCTATTTCCAGTTCAAAAATGGAACAAGCTACGGTATGAAACTGATTTTATGCTCTGCTTCTGTACACTAATATCCAATTTATGTTCAGGGTCAAAAAGTAAGTCAATGGTTTTTCAAACTTTTGTTCCTGATAAAAAACTTTCCAAAAAAGCAGGGCCAAAAAGCCTTAAACAGTGTAACTTGAGATTACATAATCAAGAGACACTTGTGTAACTTACAAAAATTTGAAATACTGGGCGCCTGGGTGGCTCAGTTGGTTAAGCGACTGCCTTCAGCTCAGGTCATGATCCTGGAGTCCCGGGATCGAGTCCCCCATCGGGCTCCCTGCTCAGCAGGGAGTCTGCTTCTCCCTCTGACCCTCCTCCCTCTCATGCTCTCTGTCTCTCATTCTCTCTCTCTCAAATAAATAAATAAAAAATATAAAAAATCTAAAAAAAAAAATCTGAAATACTCATAGAAACCACCTCTAGTTTTGGATAATACTTTCAAATAAGCAACAGATTTACACATAACTTTGAAGTATCCCATCATAATTTGGTACCCACTGTGCTAATCAGGGCCAAGTCCAGGTGGTGAAGTCACCCAATTACCTGGGCTAAGAGCTCGCTGATAAGGAAAGGAGCTTTCTCTACTAGCATGTGAAACACAACTCACTTTTCTAAATTCACTAACTTTGTGAAACTGAGACATGAAAAATTATAAAAGTTTTTTCTTGTTCAGACTACCAATGATCTGGAAGAGGGTAGTAAAGAACGTAACTGAATAACCCAACTTTTACTTTACTCTTCTGATCTGGGCTCAGATAAATCATTTGAATTTTATTTGGGGGGAAATTTTTAAAAACATAATAAACTAAATGCTTTTTGTTAGGGGGAAAAAAGGCAGCTTTGTTGTTTTAGAAAATAAAAAGAAATACCTAATAAATAACAGTTTTGTTATTTTAGTTAATGAAAAGAACATGTCATTTTTGGTGATAACTGTCATCATTCTCTATTTCCCAGAAGGAAAATTGTCTATTTCATGAAAATGTACAGATATCGGCTGCAATTACTTTTGAAATATAACTTAATGCACTTTTTGATATAACTGCAAAATTAGTAAGATTATAAGCAACTATAACTTATACATAGTGCTATTTTGGTATTTCTACAGATCCTATTTTTTTAAAAAAATGTGTCTAATAATTTGATTTCAGCCTAGACTAGCAACAGAAAAGCAAACCTGTCTAGTGTTGGGCATACAAAGAAGAGTAGCTGTAAATCAAGCTCCGCTGTAGTGTCTGTATCTGAAAGCTGTGGTAACACACCTCTATTCATCTCACTGCCAATTATCCTCTAGGCTCCATCTGAATCACCCTGAACAACACTTAAACATGATTAATATTTAAACATGATTAATATTTGAATGGACAAGAATAGAAGTACTACATTTAAGGATGGAGTTATAAACATTTCCTTTTTCCTTTTTATTTATTTATTTATTTTTTTAAAGGTTTTTATTTATTTGACAGAGAGATAGAGAGCACAAGTAGGCAGAGTGGCAGTCAGAGGGAGAGAGAGAAGCAGGCTTCCCGCTGAGCAGGGAACCTGACGCGGGGCTCGATCCCAGGACCCTGGGATCATGACCCGAGCTGAAGGCAGCTGCTTAACCAACTGAGCCACCCAGGCGCCCCTTCCTTTTTTTTTAAATAAGCATTTCCAATTCTTGAGTTCCAGGGCTTTCAAAGTGATTACTAAATAGGGATAAAGAAGTTCCCCTTAAAAATAAGTAGCATTTAATTTCTAGTTCATCGGTACTTCAGTATTTCCTCTAAAACACCACTGCAATCCCAAAATAATTACGATTACTAAGAGGAAAAAAAATCACTAAATTGTGAAACAACAAAAAGAAGTCTTACTTTGAAAACAAAAGAACCCATATCATGACTTTGGATTTTTTAACCTCAATTTCCCAAATTTTTATTTACTTGGAAGTCGTAAAAATGAGTTTGAAATAAAGGGATTGTTTTGCCATGTAATTATAGGGAAAAAATTTTACTGAAATTTGGGAAGCCGAAGAATGAGCAAATATTTTAAAACTACTATTTATAAAACAGCACACTTGATCTCAGTTTTCTCTTGAAAATCCACCCTCAAAAATACCAGTTCTATAATGGCAGAAAGTTTCAGTGTTTCCTACATTTTTAATACTTTAGCGAATAGAAACTTGTACCATACCCTTTGGAGGCTGCAGAAGCCTGGAATTTTCAAACAAATGCTTCTTTTTGATGGGTAAGATGACCGTGTCTTTCAGATCCGTAATGACATCATCTAAACCTGCTATATCACTCCAAGTAACCTGGTGAAAGGTAAGGTCGACATGGATTTTACAATTTATGTATACTCAATGAAGTAAAAAAAATCCCCCCAAAATGGCAAACTCTAATCTGATAATTATCTGTAAATAAAAGATTAACATATAATGTGAGTAAAGACTTTTCATAGCAATAATGAAACTACTAAACAACTATGAAATTACAAAAAGGAACTTAACAGTCAACTATCTACTATTAAAAAAAAAAAAAAGCACTAGGCCCAGCACTCAGAACTCTACAGGGATCTAATAAACTGAATTCACTCCATTTATGAGGAGGAGATACTCTGCCAAGAAGATTGAGAACCAATTCAAACAGCTAAGTTAGCACTGGCTGATGGGGAAGAGCCCCTAATTCATACCAGTCACTCATACCAAGAATGCCCCTAATTCATACAGGATACTGTCAAATATAACAGAAATAGATTTTAGAAATAAAGTCACACAAAACTGGACTTTTGAATTTTATTAATCTTAAGTAGAACTGTGCCAAAACTTTTATCTTTATAAGTAGCAAATGGGAGATATATACTTTCAAAATAAACACAGCTTGTGTATTGTATTTTATTTTATTTTTTTAAAGATTTTATTTATTTATTCATGAGAGACAGAGAGAGAGAGAGAGAGAGAGGCAGAGGGAGAAGCAGGCTCCCAAGGAGCAGGGAGCCTGATGTGGGACTCGATCCCAGGACCCTGGGATCATGACCTGAGCCGAAGGCAGACGCTTAACCATCTGAGCCACCCAGGCACCCAACACAGCTTGTGTATTTTAAAGCCTTCTGACTCAACTTAAAAAATCTGGGGGGTGAGGGGTGGAGGGGAGAATAAACCAACTGAAAAAGACCTAAGTAAAAAACATCAACCTAGCTCTAACCTGACAGAGTAAAGGGGCTGGAGATGGGGTGAGTCAGAAGCAATTATTTACAAGTGATTTACTTTCCCTACAACTTGAAAAAAAAAAGTGAAAAGCCATAGCCAAATCTGAAAAAAATCACCACCTACTTCCACTGTAGCTATAACAAAAAACAGAGTCTATTGATACAGCCTTACTCAAAAGTGAATGCTGGTAAGGCCAAGAAAGTTTCACTATAAATTTATAAATCGAATTCAAATGGAGGATTACTTCTGGGGACATGTATCTCTCTGCGCACACAGATACTAAAAGACATTACAGACTTTCATTTTCCAGATTTAGAGATAGGAATCTCATTCATTCTATTTATTTGTATCTGTTGTACAAAATTCATTTACGCTTGTTGTTATAAAATACACGGGATTTTAGAGTTTATAAATTACACTAATCTGATGTTCAAATAATCCTTTTGAAGTAGGTAGAGTAGGTATACAGGGTCCCTGGAGTATACAGGAGGGAACTGACAGTCAAAGAGGAAATAATTTGCCAAGGCCATGAATGGAAAAACTGGGATTTAGAAACTTGTGTTGTCTACCATACCTTATTATGAAAATCTACACTTAAACTCCAAATCAAATATCCATATAACTTAAAGCAGGACTTTTTATATGCCATAAAGGTGAATTAAAGTACAAGTTTATCTAAACAGGTGTATGCCAAGAAAAGTTAAAACAGCAGGCTCCAGACTGTTGTCCTAAGAAAGGCCTGCCTGCGGGGCTGGCCCCTGGCTGGAGTATGGGAGCTTAGATTTCAGGAGAATTCCCACCACTCCCCAGTAAGAACACCTCACTGTGCCTCAACTGTTTGTGCAAACAAAATGGTTTATGGTGGGGAGATCCGATTTCCCTCTGAAAGTCTAGAATTTGGGGAGATGTTAGGAAGTGGTCTATGTGACTAGCTCCAATTAAAACCGTGGGCACTAAGGAGATTCCCTGGTGGACAGCACTTTACATGTGTTCTCACAACTTGTGGTTGAAGGAGTGTGACTTCACTGGGGAACACTCCGAAGCCTGTGCTGATTTCCTCCAGACTTCATCCCAGGCCCCTCTTTCCTTGCTGATTTTGCCCTGTATCCCTTTTCTGTACTAAATCGTATCTGTGAGCAAAGCTATGCGGACTCCTTTGATTCCTCTTAGAAAATTATCAAACCTGGTCGTCTTCAGGAGCCCTGACACTAAGTGCTAAACCAAAAAAATCTTAAATAAGATTAAAGATACGTACATGCATGTTAAGAGGGTCTACTAGATGAGCAGCAATACTCATTTCATATTCTGAAAGCTTCACATTTTTCACACCAATCTGTTTCATTAATTTTTCTGCCTAGAACGAAAAAACAAGCAACTTCCTTCAGTTTGATATTTACGTACTGGCACTCCAAAAGAGATGGATGATCTGTGAAGTCTAAACAGTGATGAATAGACATAGAAGAATTTTCCAGGGAAATTCTAGGCCCCTTGATCTCATCTTTCCCCAGTGTAAGCCCTCGGGTAGATCTGAGTGTCCAACTCCACAGAAATCACAGCAATTTAAACCAGCTCCTAGGAAATGGAAAATATAAGGTACATGACTGAAGAGATACATATAGGGCCTTCTATTGCTCCACTGAGACTCCAGGGTCCAACTCGATCTCTTTCCTGGTAGGATTATCATGACAGGTGGAGAGGAAACCTCAAAATGGAAGACAGAGGAGTTAAGCGTATCAAAAAATGGACAAATGGGAGTTTCTTCCCTTAAAACAAGTTTCTGAAAACAGGTGCCTTACTTCTTTCAAATTACCCAGTTATTGACATCAGATGCCCATAGCTATCAAATCTCAAATTGTTCTGAGATGTTGTCCTTTTTAGTTAAAGCCAATTCCTGGGACTAGGCAACCAGAGATAGTAAAAATAACTCTAAATTAGAAATATACTTACATATATTTTTAGAGCTGGGCAAACTAGCTTTAAATCTATGAGCTTTACCAATGCAACAAAGCTTTTGATTAAAATTTTAAAAAATGGTTATAAACACTTGCTGAGCGTGCCAACTATCATGCCAAAATACGGAAAATGGATTAACTCACTGAATCCCCTGAGTGAGCTTATGAGGTAGGTACAATTTTTCCCCACTGAAAAAAAGGAAATTAAAAGTTTAGCTCAGATGAAATAATTTGCCTTAGGTTGAAGTTAGCAAATGGAAAAGACAACATACACATGCAGGCAACCCAACTCCAGAGCCCATCCACTAACCCACATGACCCTACTGTCCCCAATTATAAGATGGGAGTTTGTGATCACTAAAGAGTCTTCAAAAATCTACAGAAAACACATTCAAATTTCAATTAAGTGAGCATTTTTAGAAATAAAGACCAAAATTTTTGTTGTTACATTTTCCTAAAATACTTAAAAAAAATCATACTGTATCCTTTATTTTACATATTTTTAAAGTAGGCTCTACGCCCAACGTGGGGCTTGAACTCACAACCCTGAGATCAAGAGGTGCATACTCCACCAACTGAGCCAGCTAGGCACCCCCTAAAATACTTTGATTCTATAAGATCTTGTTCTTGTCAGGGGGTACTGCTGCTTTAAATGAAATCCGTATCACACAGCATTACAGTTAGAGATTGGTTGGAGGATTAGGATAAATGTGGATAAATCAGGATAAATCATATCCTTATAACGTAGCATTTTTAAAAAAGTGCTATGAACCACATTGTTTTCCTCCTTAGCTATCTCCTGTAAAATTACTGAAGCAATGGATAAAATAGCCTTTCCAAGGTTCTTTCATCTTTCTTGTAAATATCTTCTTTTGCTGACTTTAAATCTTTTACGTGTCAGCTATGAAAGGTATCCTATTTTAGTATCTGTAATAACATCAATTTACTCTTCTTTTTCATTATGCTTCTATAAATGTGAAGCCATCCCACATGTGTTCTTTTTAGGCTATGCTGTAAAACACTGTTTTTTTTTTTTAATTTTATTTTATTATGTTATGTTAATCACCATACATTACATCATTAGTTTTTGATGAAACATTGGTTTTCAACCAGGGGTGATTTTTGCCCCCTGGGGACATACGACAAGGTCTGGGAATAGTTTTGGCTGTCACAACCTGGGGGGATGGGATGCTACTGGTTATCTAGGCAAAGAGACAAGGATGCTGCTGAACATTCTTAAAGGCACAGCATAGCCTGCCCTTCCCCAATTATCTGGCCCCAAATATCAATAGTGCCAAGTTGGAAACACTGATTTTTCCCCCACTAGCTACCTGCTCTTAAAATTTTACTCCAGGGGGCGCCTGGGTGGCTCAGTCGTTAAGCATCTGCCTTCAGCTCAGGTAATGATCCCAGGGCCCTGGGACTGAGCCCCGTGTCGGGCTCCCTGCTTGGCAGGAAGCCTGCTCCTCCCTCTCCCACTCCCCCTGCTTATGTTCCCTCTCTCGCTGTTTCTCTCTCTGTCAAATAAATAAGTAAAATCTTTAAAAAAAAATTTTTTACTCCTGGCCACAACTGCCTCTTGCTTTAAATAGTAACAACCTTTTATGTCTGGGATTTCCTAAATAACAAGTATAGACCTAGAAAATGCTGTGGTAAAATTTACCTAAAATCTTTTCCCCATAAAAGCAGTCCCATTTAACAATGTCTTCTTCAAGTTGCATTAACAACATTGACAGAGGGCGCCTGGGTGGCTCAGTTGGTTAGGCAACTGCCTTCGGCTCAGGTCATGATCCTGGAGTCCCTGGATCGAGTCCGGCATCCGGCTCTCTGCTCGGCAGGGAGCCTGCTTCTCCCTCTGACCCTCCCCCCTCTCATGTGCTCTCTCTCTCTCTCTCATTCTGTCTCAAATAAATAAATAAAATCTTAAAAAAAAAACAACACTGACAGAAAAAGAAATTAATATTTATTGGGCAAAACTCATTTTCTTTTTTTTTACAATCAGCCCTTAAAATCATCCTGAGAAGTAGCTATTATTATGCTCATTTCTCAGATGAGGAACCCAAGGGTCAAAGAAATCAAAAGAACTGCCAAGATTACAAGCTAGGAATTGGCATTTCCAGAGTTCAAACCCTGATCTGTCTAATTCCAGAGCTCATGTTCTGCTGAAACACTAATATTCCTCATTTGGGAGAGCAGAACATGGTTAATAAACAAACAAAAAGAAAGGACCCCAAAACACATCATACCAACACCAAACTGTGTTCCAGAAGTTATTCAACTGTTTTTAGCTTTGACACCTTTAACTGAGCCCGTTTCTAAAATGTTTTACCAGGAAAAACAAAATTATGATTGTACTTTAAAAACAGCTTATGTTCACGCATTGCTTTATCATTCACAGCTCAGTGACAATTATATTTTCTAGTTACCAACTTTTGTTTGGTTTTTATTTATTTTTATTTTTAAAGATTCTATTTATTTATTTGACAGAGAGAGACACAGTGAGAGAGGGAACACAAGCATGGGGAGTGGGAGAGGGAGAAGCAGGCTTCCCGCCGAGCAGGGAGCCCAACCCAGGACCCTGGGATCATGACCTGAGCAGACGCTTAAGGAATGTGCCACCCAGGCACCCCTTTTGTTTGGTTTTTACGGTGAGTCTCTCCAAGTAGTTATCACTTGGTGGAGGAAAAATGGTGGGGGTGGGTCGGCAGGGGAGTCAGGTAGGAGGGAAACTTACTTTCTACTGTACACTCATCTTTTTAACCGTTTCACAGTATTTTTTTATCCTTTCAGGCTATTTCATTTTTCCCCATGTAAAGTATTTGTAACAAGATTAAGAAGTAGGGTAGGAAAGAGTGAACTACTATTTTTGCCTGGAATAGGAAAAGAGGAGATGGAGAAAAAAGAAGTAGCAGAAAAGAAACATTTTGTTCAGTTTCTGCAAGAGTCATAAAATTGGTTGTTCTTTTGGAAGAATAATTTTATTTATTTATTTATTTTAAAGATTTTATTTATTTATTTGAGAGAGAGAATGAGAGACAGCACGAGAGGGAAGAGGATCAGAGGGAGAAGCAGACCCCCCGCTGAGCAGGGAGCCCGATGCGGGACTCGATCCCGGGACTCCAGGATCATGACCTGAGCCGAAGGCAGTCGCTTAACCAACTGAGCCACCCAGGCGCCCTGGAAGAATAATTTTAGAAAGTTAGAGATAGCATTAACAAGTTAAGGGTGAAAAACCAGAGGTGAACTATAATTAAACTTAAGTTTTTTTTTTACAGATGTCATAGCTAACATACTCTAAGTGTGGACAGAGGAAATCATGGATACAAAGCTCATAAAAATACACTGAAATAGGAAACACCAAAGAATGTAATTAGCTTTATATATTAGATATAATCTCTCTTTTTTTTAAGATTTTATTTACTTATTTGACAGAGAGACACAGCGAGAGAGGGAACACAAGCAGGGGGAGTGGGAGAGGGAGAAGCAGGCTTCCCACCGAGCAGGGAGCCCGATATGGGACTCGATCCTGGGACTCCAGAATCATGACCTGAGCCAAAGGCAGACGCTTAACGACTGAGCCACCCAGGTGCCCTAGATACAATCTATTATAAACTTATATTAAAATTCCTGAAACACCCTTTTCTAGAGGACACAAGTCATCTCCCCTCTTAGGGTTAGTGCACATGTATCTCTTCTGGTTTTACTGGATGTATTCTGGAAGTTACAGGATCAGACGGCCTTCTACTATCGTGCTCTTCCACTGACCCTGGGCATACAGCACAATGCTGCACAGAGTTTTCTCTCCTCCAGTTTCCCTCTCTGGCTGCTCTTCTCTCCCCGTCACTTCTACCTATTCCTTGGCCAATCAGGCAACGCTAACCGTGTATTTCTTACTGACTTCCTATCTCAATTTACTTCAGCTTTTCAGTCCTCTAAGATTCAGCGCCAGTAAACCTTAGTTGCGAAAGCCACTTGATCGATAATGTAGGTCACAATGGCTTCCTGGTGTTGGCAAACGTTAGCTCGTCCCAGTGTAACTGGCATTCTGTGATGGCTGCTCTTAAAAATCCCTGGCAGCTGACAGTTCGTGTTTTTTTCTTTTTAAAGGTTTCAGTGTATCATCTCTTCACAAAATATTTCGGCTAATACTTCTCTCAAAATAACTAAGAGTTTTGAAGACTAAGGTATCATGATAGGACTAAAAATAAGAAGACATTAACTTCACTAAGGTCACAGTATATGACTTTCATATGTAGAAGAATTCTCAGTAGCGAATCTTTCGTGGCCTTTGACAATTAAACTACAATCTCAAAAATATTATAGTCTAATTAATATGCTAACCCAAATACTGTATTTATAAATGCTCAGAACAGGTCAAGCATTATGTTACTCATCCTGTACTTGAAAGCTCTAAAACAGAGAGCTTACCTAGAGATTCCATTTTTCTACATCCCAATTAACCACCCTTTCATCAGACATACCTATAAGAACTCTTCTACTACATCTAAATACGATCCAAGCAGCAGTGGATGCCCAGAAAATCCCCGTCCCTGTGTAACACCCTGCAGAAACCATCTCCCACATTTCACCAAGCTGGGAAGTTTTCCTGGCTTCAGGCTAGAAATTATTTACAAATATTCTAATTCAAACATTAAGACTACTTCTAGGTTACTGTTCCTAATTTGAATGCACTGCCATCATCGATTACCTTTCTTTCATCTGACAATTGCACTGCCTTTAAATTCACATGAGGCCCACTGATTTATCAGTAGCCTCAAAACTTTATCTCAGCTTCTATATTCAGTGCTCTGCCTTTGTGACCATAGAAGTCATAGCTTCCTCCTGACCCATATTCACATGTGATCTTTACCCTCAATGTATCCTCTCAATTCTTTAATTCCCTTCTGCACTCCCACTTAATTATCCCCCACTTGGCAATATTTGACTTCCTAAATGGCATGGACCATGGCTCCCCATTTTAACAATGTCTTCTGTTGAATCTTAGAACCCCTTAGACTTGTATCAGTCAGCCTTATCCTCAATGCTGGTTCCGCACCACCATTGTTTATCTGCTACCAAGATGCTGAGAAATACTTGGAGAAGTTAATAAAAACAAAACAACTCAATTCCCAATAAAGTCATGCTTCCTTCAACTATGCCCTAATGTTCATAATCCACAATGATTTAGCTCATTAAATCCTGATCACATACTTACCTCAGCAGGTCCCATCTCCCCACTTCACTGAGAATAAATTAACTCAATCTTAAAATGTTCTTAACTACTAATCCTAACCCCTCTGGGACCTACCTCCATCCTCTTTGGCAGCAACCCTCTACCTCCTCCTTTTCCACTAGTCTTTTCCCTTTTCTTCTTTACCTTTCCCCAGCAAACTCTGGAAGAACCACATTCTTTTACTTCAAATTATACTTGCTGTCCCCAGTGAATGGAAATGCTGATTTCACTAAATTTACAGATCGCTTTCTTTGATTAAATTCTTTATGTCCTCCTTTTCTCCTGGATCATTTTATAACATATTTACAAATAATTCTCTTTTGCAACCTTCTCTTCCTTTGGTTTTGACGACTTGACACAAATGATTTTCCAGACAGTGGGAGAGAAACGTGAGGAGGGGCTTTTAAAAATTATATTCAACACCCACCAATTTCCCCCAATTCTTATTTCAGAATGTAGGCCTTCCAGTTGAAATATACTGCCACAATGAACGACTACTAGTCTGCAGTGTTTTTTATACTTCAGGTGTGTTCAGGTGGGAAAGACTAGTACCAATACCTTACATTATCCCGGTTTTTTCCCTATTCTTCTGGCTTTTTTTTTTTTTTTTTGGTGCTTTTGTTAATAATTGGGTAGATTAAAAAAAGGTATCTTTAAAATACATAGATGAGGTAAAAAGAACCATAGAACACGTTCTCAGTAAATTATTTGTTATATGAATAAATTCAAGTTGTTAATCCACAGAAGATATTATTGTAAATGGTATCAAGCAAAAAACAAAATTTATTCCCTCTCCTATAGAACCAACTGTCCAAGTATCATGTTTTGAAAAGTCCATCCTTTCTCCAATAATCTACAAAGAAGAGCCAATTCTGTCATACATCAAGTTTCCAAAGTATGCCTAGGTCTGTTTCTGGAGTCTATCCTGCTAAATTTGCTAATCCATCCCTGTGCCAATAGCATACTGTTTTAGTAACTATGGCTTTATAAGTTTTGATATAAATTAAGGCAAATACTCCCTCCCCCAATACATGTCTTGTTTTTCTTCTTTTTTTACGTTTTGTTTTTCAAGAGTGTCTTGCCTACATATAAACTTTTATTCTTCCATAAAAATTTTAGAAAAAAAATACAACAAAATAGCCTGTCAATATTTTTTATTGGCATGGAATTTAAGCATAGTTTTCAGTAGTTTTACAATTTTCATTAAAAATGTGTTGTACAACTTGTGTTTGTCAGTTACTGTATATTTTTGATACTACTGTAAATAGTATCTTTTTAAAGTTGCATTTTCAAAGTGTGATGGGTACACAGAAATAGTTGGTTTTTGTACACTGACTTTATATCCAGCAGCCCTTAAACCCTTATTAACTCCGAGAGATTAGCTACAGACTTTGTTTGCTTTCTACGTAGATTACCATATTATATGTATAATGACTGTTTAATTTCTTCTTTCAAATCCTTCTACATCTTACCTTTTTTCTTGATTTATGCATCATTAACAGTAAAATGTTGAACAGAAGTGATGATGACAGGCTCCCTTGACTTGTTCCTAATCATAAAGGAAATGCTTTCAATTTTTTACCATGAAGTATGTTTCCTACAGTAAATTCATTTTATCACGCTATCTTCTATTCCTAATTCACTAAGCTTTTCTAAAAAGAATGAATATTTAATTTTAACAAAGGCTTTTTCTGCATTTATTGAGATAATCATAGTTTTATCCTTTAATCTGTTATTACAGAACATTATAAATATATTTTTTCCTCAACTGAAGCCAGCCTTAAACTCCTGGAATAAATCCAACTGGTCATAATGTTATCTTTTTTTATACACTGCTGAATTCAACTTGCTAGTATTTTAAGATTTTTCTATTCATTTAATTGAGATAAATTATAGCCCATTACAAGTTTTAGGGTTATTATTATGCTACCCTCATAACAAGGTTTGGTGACTGTTCCCTCTTCTAGAGTTCGTATAAAATTGTTACTATTAATTTGTTCCTTATATGTTGCTACAACTTGCCAGTAAAATTCTATGGGCCTGGACTATTCTTTATCAATATATATGTCCAATATTAACTTATTTCACAGGTATGGGACTAACTATTCATGTCTAATTCTTAAGTCAGTTATGGCAATTTATATTTTTCTAAGAGTCTATCTGTATCATCTAAAGTTTTTAAATTTATTGGCAGTTATTAATTTTCCTTATTTTTAATGTCTGCAGCATCGCCATTACGTCTCCTCTATCATTCCCAGTAATATTTACTGGTGGCTTCATTTTTTTCTTGGTTTTACAAAACTGTCAAATATTTTTGTATATTCAAATAACCAACTTCTTGGTTTCACTGATTTTCTTTACTGTCTTTTCATTTTCTGTATTTTTATTCACTCTATTGTATATCCTATTTCTTACTAATTTGTCTTCCTATTATTTCCCTTCTTTCATTATCCATGGGTTTATGTTAAAATCTTTTCTTGAGCTTAAGTTTTACTTTATTAATCACTTTCTTTTCTAACAAACACTTAACACTATAAATTTCTCTCTAAACATTAATGCATTAAATTTAATTCAATCCTATTTTCTTTAAGTTTTCACTTGAAAGAGAGAGAGAACGCATGCGTGTGTGTGCACATGAGCAGGGGGAGGGGCAGAAGGAGAGGGAGAAGCAGACCCGTTGAGCAGGGAGCCCGAGGTGGGCTCTAGACAAATGAAGATGAATACAGAGCCAAGAGGAACAGCAAATTCATATTCTTGTTAATACTGTACCTTTCTTTCATGCTCTTTATTTTTAAAGATTTTATTTATTTATTTGAGAGAGCATGAGAGCAAGATTGAGAGAACAAGGTGGGGGGAGAGGCAAAGGGAGAAGCAGACTCCCTGCTGGGCGGGGAGCCCAACGCGGGACTCGATCCCAGGACCCTGAGATTGTGACCTGAGCCGAAGGCAGATGCTTAACCGACTGAGCCACCCAGGCGCCCTCATCATAAATATTTTCTAATTTCTACTATGTTTTCTTTTACCTAGGAGTTCTTTAAAGATGTTTCTTACTTTCCAAACTTATTGGATATTTAACAATCTTCCTGTTCTGCGCTGGAGCCAGGGAATGTAACAAACATGCTACCAGTGCTATGAAACTTGACATCTGCTTTACAACTTAGCATTTGGTTAAATTTCACAAATCTTACATGGGTGCTTTTTAAATACCCCTGCATTTTCTGAAGCACAATATACTATATGTGGCCACTAGATAATGCTGTTACTTTCGTAAATCTGCGATATCTTTACCCATTAAAAAAAAAAGTTTCATCTGACTACATCAAAATAATAAGCTTCTGCACAGCAAAAAAGGGAAGCAATCAACAAAACTAAAAGACAATCTACTGAATAAGAGAAGATATTTGCAAATGACATATCCAATAAAAGATCAGTATCCAAATTATATAAAGAATTTATACAAAAAACACTAACTCCCCCCCCCCCCAAATAATCTAATCCAAACACACACTTAACTATGGAGAAAAAACAGATGGATACCAGAGTGGAGGTGAGTAGGTGGGGTGAAATGGGTGAAACAGGAATGGGATTAAGAGTACACCTATCATGATGAGCACTGAGTGATGTAGAGAATTGTTGTATCACTATATTTTACACCTGAAGCTAATATAACACTGTATGTTAACTATACTGGAATAAAAAAAAGTTTTTTTTTAATATTTCATCTACCACTAACTGAAAGCAATGTTAAAAACCTCCCACCATGATGACGGATATGTTATTTCTCCCTATAGTTTTATCCATTTTTTGCTTTATGTATTTTGAAGCTATATTAATAGATGTACACAAATAAATATTATATTTCTTGGTGAATAGAATCTTTAATCACTCTGTAATGAACCTTATTTTCCCTAATAGTATTTTTGCCTTAAAGTTTGTGTTCAACCAGCTTTCTCTTTGTATGGTAGAGGCATTTTCCATCTTTTAATTTTCAACCTTGCTGTGTCTACAGTTTATATGTGTCACTTCAACTAGTGTATGGCTTAAATTTCACTTTTTAAACCATTCTTATATCTTTATCTTTAGGTAATTACCAAAGAGGATATACTCTTTTGGAGTCAAAGATTTATGGGAGTATTGTCTATGAGACATCCTACCTTGGAATGGTCCTGTGCTTTGTATCCTGAGCTCCTCTGGGCCATAAAAACAGAAGTTCAAATTCAGCAGCTTCAGCAAATTCCCCCCAATGTGAAAGCTGGCCATCAAGCTCATGTTATCTTTTTCAATCTTTGCCTCCAGTTTTTTACCTGAATTTCTTACTTTCTTGCTAGCTCATGAATACCTTTAAGAAGATTAAAAAAAATATTTTATCTAGATCATTTAGTTGCTTTTGGCAGGAAGGTCAGTCCAGATATCTAGTTACCCTAACCAACCTGTTCATTCTCCACTGGCTTCACTTCCTCTTCCCATTCCCTAAATGAAGGCTTATCCTTCAGCCAACTAACTATTTATGGTGTTTGATAGCACCTCCTTTAGAGACCTCATCACTCCCAATACAGTCATCAGCATTTATTATATTCACAATTACAAGAAAAGCTCTCAACAAATATTTGAATGTATAAATCCCGATGGTGGTAGGAGGAAGGTGGGGAAAACCCCACAAATGATACATACCTACACAAGAATAACCCTGGGGCCTATGGCATCCCAGTTGAGACTCACTTCTCTAATAAGCCCAACTACTTCTGAGCATCTGATGAGGAACCTCTAAGGACTGACCTTTTCTCTGAGACTGAGACCTACCATTAACTGCTGGATGAACATATTCCTCTGGATGCCTACTACCAACACAAACTCAATATGCCCAAATCAAATATCATCTTCCCATAAACTTGCCCATCTATCAGTTTCTAAACCTCACTGAAAGATACTATGAGTCTTCGAGGACTCCAAACAAATCTTGGATTCATTTGTAAGATGTCCTTTTTCTTTTCCCGTATCATCACAAAGTCCTTCCAGCATTCATTCTTATTAGTCTATTTCACCCATTCCATTCCTTTTGTCACCCCCTTATTCTAAATCTTTGCCAGGCCTACTGCAATCTGGTTAAGTCTATGCAACAGATCTTGCTTCTAGTCTCCCTAACCCCAGTTCCTGCTATATACTACTGTGAAGTTAATTATCCTTAAAACATTCCTTTGCATATCACCCACATACTCAAAAATCTTTAATAGGCAGTTTGATAGTTTAGTAGTTTATCACTGCCTATACAGAAGACTTCAACTGGTCAATAGGGTATTTCAGTAGCTGGCCAGGGAGGTAAGGAAGGAAGAGAGGAAGGCTATCGGAGAAGCTACAGCCGCTGACCAAGCAAACAGCATGCCTCCTTCTTGGTTGATGATGACTTAAAATGCTGTGGCTTTTTTTTTTTTTTTTTAATCAGCCTCTGTTCAAAAAGAACAGAGTAAGGAAAAGTAGAAGTCTTTTCCCCGACTTTACACTTTAATCCCTTACCTCTCCCTCCAAGTTCTACTAGTTAGTTGCATAAACCCTCTATTCCAATCTGACTAGTCTTTTTACTATTCCTGCAACAGGTCTTGCTATTCCTACAATCGTCAAGATTCTGTTCATGATCTACTTCAAATTGTCCTTGCCTATTCTAGTGGCCAAACTCTTTCATGAAGCCATCCTCAACTACCTCAATCATTAGTGACTGCTCCTTTCTCTAAATGCCATAGTTTTTGTCTACTCATTAGGCAATTAGAATATGCTACTATTATAATTTATATTATCATGGACAAGTCTTTTTACCCTACCACGGGCACTATGAGGACAGATGCAGAATCTAATACATCATGTAAATGATATTTACAATACTATGCATACATTCTCAATAAAGGCTTAAAGGTAACAATCCATTCATGTGTTATTTAATACCTGTGTTTGGCTTTCTATGTCTTCCATATGGGTGTTCCAGGAGCTCTTAGAAGCCACGGAAATAAACAACAAAATTCTCTGTTTTAATAGCCACATCTCTGCTTTTAAGACTTTTTTTTTTAAGATTTTATTTATTTATTTGACAGAGAGATTCACAGTGAGAGAAGGAACATAAGCAGGGGGAGTGGGAGAGGGAGAAGCAGGCTTCCCGCCAAGCAGGGAGCCCCATACGGGGCTGATCCCAGGACCCTGGGATCATGACCTGAGCCGAAGGCAGACGCTTAACGACTGAGCCACCCAGGTGCCCCTTAAAACTTTTGAAAATGGTATGACTTACCAATACTTTGGCCTCAGACTCAAACTGACTTGCATCGTGTAGGTGGCAGGAAAAGCTGCACTTCAGCTGACACATGGATATACTTAATTAACACACACACACACACACACACACACAGCACTGGTCAGACTTCTTAGAGAGTTATAAATTGAGTGATATTATGATATAATCTAGACCCTGAATCAACTATTGTATAATCAAGTTCAGGGAACAAACTCACAACTGTTCAAATTGCTTTTCAGATACAAATAGTAAGCAGTAGTCACAAAACGGTGATTTTCACTGATTTAAGAGCTATGCATAGTACTGTAAAGCACTCACTTATGTACACCCTGGTCTGCCACACTAGCCTATAGCATTTTGAAAGAACAAGATTTATTTATCTTTTATCCTTGCCACCAAGAATTTGCTAGGAGCTCAGTAAATGTTTACTGAATGCATCACAGTCACAACACTCAGAAGGAATCTAAAAATCAATGAATATAAACATCTTGCCCTCAAACAGCAAGAAAAACTTGAAAGGCTCCTGTAAGGCTTTTACTTTTTTGAGCAAGAATAGAAACTAAAACAGATATGTCATCCTCATAAGAAAATGACCACAAGAGAAAGTTACTGAAAATAAACAAACAAACCTACTACTTATATTAAAAAATAGTAATATTTAGCAATTTCTTAATTAGAAATTAGTGAGTTTGCAAGTGTAAGACTGACAGCTGATCAGTATTATCCACATTTCAAATGTCTACAAAGCAAAATGCATACCATTACTCAAGATAAGTTGTTTTTGTTGTCTGTTGAAATCTTTTACCTAGATTCCTTCATTCATTAGCTGACAAAAATATTCTAATGAAGATGTTCACAACAAAATACTGGAATATCTTTATTTTTCACCCCTTTTATCCTGAGAAGTTATACAGTTAGAAAGGATTTGAAAAACGAATACTTTTTTAGGAATAATGAAATTAAATAGGACATTCAAACACATTTTCACAGGGGTCTTAGAGAACTTCTAATTAATTTATAATTCTATATCCTTAGTTTAATGGAAAAATACTAGCTAGCTACAAGAAAAAATGATTCTCAAACATTTCAGTCATACCTGTTTCTGAGCTTCTACTTTTTGCTTTCTGGTTGGATCAATTGCATCTACCATCCATTTGATTGTAAAGTATGTTACTGCACCAAATATCGTCAAACGGAAAATTAAACCAACAACTTCATTCCGACTCAAGGGACGAGAAAAAGCTTCAGCATGTACCATCTTGATTAACCTTAAAAGACAAACAGAAATGTCACTAAGTAATAACTAGATTCATTACAATTGGGAGACTGATAAGTAGCTTAAACTTAGCAAGAAAAACTAACTTCTAGTCAAATTCAACATTACCTGCCTTAAAGTGTTTTATTTTAAGGAAAAATGAACATACTAAAAACTGAGGTTTATTAGACTTTTTAAATGAATTTTCCTTAAAGCTCATATAATTTAAGCAGACGATAATTCTGCAATAATACGGTCAACATCTTACAGTATTTACTCTTTTAAACAGCTTTTAAATAACTATTTCAGAAAATCTAGAGATACAATGAAATACTTTACTAATGTGACGGTAAGAATTTCTTCTCAGTACAACAGGCAATTTTTGAGTGAAACTGAAACTGAACAGACTCGCTTTTTCCTAGGCTTACTTTTCAGGTTTTCAAGGCCTGCTTAAATTTAAACATGCCATTTTCTCTATTAATAAGTGACATTAAATGTTTTGAGCCATCCTACTGTTTCCAACCACCCAGCTAAATATGAAGTACTAGAATCTTCACACATTTTTGAACCACAGTATAGTAGTCACCTGAGACGGAGAGGAAATAAGGAGACAGCGTGCCTACTTTTACCTACATCTCTGAACAGCTACCTCAATCACATACAGGCTTGCAGAAGGCATGCACAGCCCTGTCAATAAGGCAATAACTACCCAGAAAAATAAGGTTGTTAGGGACGATGGGACTGTCACATTTTGGAAGACAGGATCTCAGATTCTAATAATGCCATTTTCCTCTCATGGCATAGGACTATGCTGAATGCTATGCTATGTGAAAAAGAGAGAGATTATATTCTGCACTCATGTGAACAGGAATAAATCAGAATTTGCACAGATGGCTCAGCAACCGGTAAAAATTAGGAACTGCATAGATTCGTATCTATGGTCCTCCACTAAAATTAGTTTCCCTTGTCACTACTACTACTCAATTAAAGATCTTCTTCACTTCCCTCCCTCTGGAATAGCTCCAACGATTTTTAAATTCTTCTTAGATACCTCCCCCCTTCCATTCAAGAGTATATACTTCTCCCTGATAAAAAGACTTCAAAGCTTTCCTTTTACTTACAGAATTTCCAAGTGTTCAAGACCATCTTAACCTAGCCTTAAAGAGTAACATTTAAGCATTTTCTCACTACTTCTCAGTAAGAACTTTCAATAGCTGGAGTCACTGGTATCTGAAAATGCCCTGTGTATTTTCCCTCCACCATACTTGTCTGGTACCCTGGGACAGGTCATTTCTCTCCCTTCATCTAAGATTAGTCAATTTCTTTCCAAATTTCAAAAACCAACTTTACCTTCTTCATCTTTCTGTCACATACAAGAGACACTATTCAGTAATTATCTGTTCAACAGATAAACTGCAACTGCAGAAACACTTCCCACTCAATCATTCCAACAAAACTGCTGCCAGATTTTGAACGATTTCCCAAAAAAAGTCAAGGGTTCCACGTTTCTCTATTATGAGGAGCCATTTACTTCACAATAGTACGTTATTTAACTTAACAACAAAATAATTGAAAGCCTTCATTTCAGATGAAGAACCTTTGACCTAGGGACATTAAGTGATTTAATTCACACCATAAAGCACCTATTGAACATGTATATATAATGCCTACTATATACTGGGCATACAATAACGGCCAAGATACAATTATTGTCCTCAAGGAATAGAGTTCAGTTATTAATTATATCTCTATAAATGGAGCTAAGGAGGAAAAGCCACCTAATTGAAATCTCTCCTCATGCAACAAATTCAAGTGTGCTTTTATCCATCCGCATGGATTCCTAAAGATGAGTTAACAATACTCCACTAAAAAATTGACTTTCCTAGCCTTCATTTTAACAGAGTAAATTTGAAAATTCAGCTGGAAGATGTGATATTATGACGCAGGGATATTATTCATTGATGTAAATAAACCAACAGGCAAAAATCAAGGTTTTATTAACTTAATCTGTGAGAACTAGTGATATTCAAATAAAACATTTTATTTTCAAAGTTTGAGTTAGTAGCGAGAGAACCGCCACCTACTGGATGTTCCCGGAACTACATGAACAACTAGGGCAAGTTTCAGTACATCCCAGTCGCCGAGACAATGACAATTTTTAATCCTATAAAAAATTTCAAGACATAAAACCTGTTAACTATACGTTTTCCTATATTTAAATTAGTACCTGCAGTAGAGTACTCTAGACCTACGGCCATGTTTAAACCAGTAGTGCATCTTCCACAATGACTTTAAAATCCTGAAATGAAACCGAAACTCCTACTTGTAGTTTGTAACCGTATATACCTTATTGTCCACTCATCTATCGTTCATACGACACGGATCCACCTGCAATGTAAGGCCGTTACAGTAGCACTGCAGCAGAATACACAACAAAAGCTGCGTGTGCACACAACAGTACGGAATGTTTTTCAATCTTGTATAAATAAATATTAAAAATCAACAAAATACGCAAGTATACAGACGCTATTATGTACAACTAAGAAATATGGCAAAACCCTGCAATGCACAGTTATCTGTTAGGCAAACACGACACCAGTTTCATTTAAAGAGTTCTCGGTTTCAGGATAGAAAACTTTAGAAATCGTACCACCTCGACAGTGAGCAATCTACTGACAGGTTAGGGACCGAGAGTATGGTGTTTCTGTCCTAATTCACTGCAGGGTTGTAGAAAAGTTTTTCTCAACCCCGAAGTCCCAGTCTGGAGGGCAACAAGGCCCTAGGAACACAGCCTGTGACAATGACTGCCAACCCTCCCATAAAGGACAGGTTATTATTAACAGCACCATCCTCTGCGAGAGCGTGCCCGGGCCTGAAGACCCCCGCCCCCGCCTTTGCACTCGGTAGTGGCAGTGCCCGTGCGACAGTCACACCCGGCTCCATCCGGCCGCCTCCGCCTAGGACCGCCGGTGCCGAGGTCGCCCGGGACGCCCCCAGGCCCCGCGGCGACCCGGCTGTCTACCGAGAGTCCCTCGCAAGTGGCATACATGGGGGGGGGGGGGGCAGCGCTAACGGAGACCCAAGGGCCTAGGCCGGGCCGGAAGCCAAGGCGAGGCCCGGGACGCCCTTGGAGGTTAATCCGCAGGATACCAAGGGCTGCGGAAAGCCGGGGGGCGGCACGGAGGAGGGGCGTGGGAGGAAGGCGCGGTGATCTTCCTCGCGCGGCCTCCCAGATCCCAGCCGGTCCCCAAGGGAGCTCAGCGGGATCCCGCGCTCGTCCCTCGAGGCCCCGGAAGACCCCGCTACTCACCCCGGGGTGGACACTGAGGCAGCAGGAGCCCTCAGCCAGCCTCACACGGGAAGGAAACGCCGCCTGGGAGAGAATGCTTCCGGCGGGGACGGCACCCCGCCCCCTCGCACGGAGCATGCGCCGCCCACGGCGTCGGCGAGGAGAGGGCGCGCTTCCGGGTTTCAGACAAGGCGGGGGGGCGGGTGGCGCGGCGGGAGGGGCTGACGTTTTCCGTGCAGCAGGTGCGGCCGCTTGGAGCACTCACCGAGGTTCGGAGTTCAGCTACTGAGATGGGATAGGGGAAGGCGCTAATCACAGCAGGTCCCTGCCGAGCTCGCGGGCTCCGGGCGCGACCCTGACAAGTCGGGGAGCCTTTTCCAGAGTGCGAAGAAATGCTGTGCATCCCCGCAGAGTTCTCCCCGACTTCTCCTTCAGCCTTCCGCCCGCCGCTCGCCCCTCACCCCGCGTGCACACCCGCAGGCTCCTGTTCTGTCTGTTCTTTAGCCAAAGCGCTGACGCGCATGGCCACCCCCACCCCTCACCATCTGCCTTTCAGTTTCCACGGTGAGCTCACCCTCCTCCCGCGTCTCTGCGCTAACAAACACCTGGGGGTGGCGCCTGAAAGCCATGTGAAACGACTTTGCAGCCCACCCAAGCAGGACCGGCAGTCGGGACAGAATAGGTTATCTGGTTGCAGGATTTGCATTTCAGGTACTTCCCTTTTTCTTCTCCACCTTCCCCTTTCCAGAACGAGAGACGTGACACAAGAGGTCCCAAGGGAGCAAACCTGAAAGCCAGCGCCACCTGAACACACAGACTGCCAGGGGGCGAGATGATATTCGCCACTGTTTCCAGATAGAAGAAGCATCGCTTTCTTCAGGTAGAGGCAGCAAGACTACCCTCCTCCGGAGGGCAGTTTGTGCCTTTCTGCTTTAGACATCATCTTTGATGTCTAAAATCCTGCAGCCTGATTGTAGGAGTTAGTGTATGCTATGAATGCCTACTCGGTGTCCCGTGATCTGCTACTATGTGCTTCACATCCATAATCCAAATTCCTCCAAAAAACCCATCCTCTTAATTTTCTGTTTTTATTGACGAGCAAATTGTGAGGCCTAGGGAGAAAAACTTTCCTAAGTTCATGTACCTAATAGGCAAATTTCACTGGAACCAAATTTAATTCAGACCCTACCCTTTACACTTTCTTTTTGAGATAGTAATTTAATACCAGTTCTATTTAAGTCTAGTTGAAAGAAGACCATGAAATGACAAAGTTGTAAGTCTTTAAAAGGTGAGGATGGGATGGCAGGGATGCGTAATATTTTAAAAACTGTGATTGGGTTCATTAACAAGAATCAGAATGGAATTTAATACTGAATGATATGAAGCTAGGTTTAAGAGAACTAGACTCGTTATTTAGAGAGGATATAGAACTTTGGGAAGAACAGGATGATTATAAGACCAGGACAGTGTTTACCAAACCAAAGCAAACCAAAAAAGTAGTCTTGGAAGAGACTCTCCTTTGGTTCCCTGGGATTATCCTCAGTCTGAGTCATTGCTTGGGATGCTCCTGGGAGCATACATTGACAGAGCTAAAAGATAGAGATTGCTGAAGGAAAGAACTTAAGGTGGCCCACTAAGATCGGCTCACCAGTAAGGAAAATGAGCTGAGAAATTCAAGATCGTAATGGACTTCCATCATTCACTGAGTGAAAATGTACCAAAGGTACATTTCCGCTGCTATGCTGAGGACCAGGGTGGCCAGTCTACCCAGTTTGTCTGACACTAAGTGGGTTTTGGAACATAGGACTTTGGATGCTAAATCAGGGAAAGTCTTAGGCAAACCATGAGGAGTTGATCCTCTATTCGGGACATCTTATCCATATAAGATATCGGAACTCCTGATATGATTGCATCTAGTCTCAATTCACCTGGACTATGATCGTACAGGAAGTTGTTGGTAAAGTAGTCAAGACTGGCCATAAAGAGTCTGTGTGCCCCCAAATAAATTCTCTACTCATTTCTTTTTCAGTGGTTTGGCTATAAACCAAGTACCTGCTATCTGCACCTATACCTTTTGGACCTAATTTTCATTTAGCAAATTTTCAAGAAGCTTCTTATGTCTGGGTCCTAAGACATCAAATTACTGTCTTCTCACATATCATGCATGTTCATTTCCAGCTATCACTAAATTAGCTAAGTTCTTCCAGAATAGAGCTGAGTGAACATATGCTTTTCATCCTAGGATAGCTTTATATAATTCCTGGCAGCACAAAACACCATATTTGGCCCACAGTAGGGGCTCAATAAATAATTCATTATGTATAACATTAATCAGGAAATTATGACAACAGATTTTTTTGTAGACTTTCTGGGCCTTCCCCTTGTGATTGTTAGAATCAAGATATTAAAAATAATTATGACGTTTATTATAGAAAGTTGGGTTTTGGGTTTTTTGTTTTTGTTTTTGTTTTGTTTTGTTTTGTTTTTTACCAATGCCTCCCAGAACAGTTTATGGCAGTTCTTCCCACTTGGAACTGAATTATCCTTTACGTTTGTTAGTTGGATGGGAGTGTGATTAATTTGCTCCACAGCCAAGGTGAATCTTTGCACTAGACCCTGAAGGGGAAGGGATTCCTTAGATTAGGGGTTCTCAGATTTCATTGTGGGTCTGTTCACTTGGACAACTTGGCAAAATGCAGATTCCTGCGTTATAGACTTAGAAGCTCCCACTTAACTGCTCTAGGTTTTGGGGATTTGAATTTTGAATAAGCATCTGAGATAGTTTTGGATACTTGAAAAAACTGCTCTAGTCAGTGATGATTTTAGATGTATTTTTACAAAAACCTCTATGTTCCAGCTCCAAAAGCCTGTCTGGTCAGCTGAACCATTAAGTCAGATGGTGTATAGCAAAAAATCAAGGCAAGGAGGTCTCACGTTGAGATTCAGAATAAAATCTCTTTGAAAGGAAAAACAGACCTGAAATTTTTGGATAAGCAGACACACTACACCTGACCCTATTTGTTGCTCATTAGAAATGATTCTCTTGACAGTGATTTAGAAAGAGCAGAACTTCAACAAATATATAGAATTACATAGCGGTAATTATGCCAGTATAATAGTCACTTGGTAGCCTTGGTTCTTTTAAAAGTTTCTTTTGACAAGTTAAATAGGATGGTTGGAGAAAGAACAGTAAAGCAAGAATATGAAGCTGTACCTGAAACCAGAAAAGCACCGAGAAAGACCGAGATTAAATTGCTTGAAGCTCCAATAGAAAGAATAAGATGGCAACAAGGCAAAAGTAATGGAAAATTAGAATTTCAACAGAATCGAAGGAGTGGAAAGATGAATTGATAGCTCCATTCTATAAAAAGCACAGAGAGCTAACAGATACAATAGCAAAGTTGTTCAGCTCTTTCAAAGTTGAAAGAATATGTTGTAAATTTACTTTTCATGCTTTTTACATTTTAAAATTTTACACATAATTTAAAACGTGTGTATATGTACTTCTCTAATGTTATCAGGGTTGCACTAAACCACAATCTTCCATCGCTACATAATCCTTTTTCTTAAGCACTACTGCCAGTTGAACTTTTTTACAGTTTATGCTAGCAATAAACATCATCTAGAACTTGGATATTTATTTTAAACCCGCCGTGTTTTATTGTTTCGCTTTTATACGGTACTGAAAATGTACTGCTCAAATGATACTGTCTGTGGAAAGTCAGGATGGATCAAAACGGCATTGCTTGGGAAGAAGGCTAAGCCCACTATAGACTCATTAGCAAAAGTTTTAAAGCATAGATGAAAGAGCAATCTCCCTAGGATTCATTTAGGACCTTCATAAATACCCTTCCATATCCTTTTCTTCAGTGGGAGAGGGGATGCGAGGGATCGGGTGAGAATGACAAAGATGTGAATTCATCAGCGAACGTGGAAGAAACAGTTGAAACATTAATTCTCAATTTCTGTAACAGCAGATTGATAGATGAAGCATAAAACAAGACCAGATGCTGTGGTTTCCAGGATGCACTTGGCTTCCCATGCTTTATAACCTGGAGCATTTATTGCTGTAAGTAGGTCACTTGCTTGCTCTCATTTACCTGATTCGAGGAAAATGCCCTTGAAAGTATTTGGAAAAGAATGTGTGCTGGTATTTAACATTCTAAAAATTAAGATTGCATAAAACTCCCCTTTCCCCACATTTCTCTATTAGTTTGAATAAGTTGTAACCCTGAAACATAAGTGAAACTAAAATGGATGAGAAGAATTTGAGATCTTTTCTAAGCACAAAAACACTAAAATCCTGTGTCCATTCTGTTTGCGCCCAAATTTACTCTACTGAGCACTGACACAATATCCATCTCTCAGAATTCTAATTGGGGTTTAAGTTTTTGTATTCTCTTATCAGATGTGAACTTCTTTTTTTTTTTTTTAAAGATTTTATTTTATTTATTTGACAGAGAGAGACACAGTGAGAGAGGGAACACAAGCAGTGGGAGTGAGAGAGGGAGAAGCAGGCTTCCTGCAGAGCACGGAGCCCGATGTGGGGCTTGATCCCAGGACCCTGGGATCATGACCTGAGCCGAAGGCAGATGCTTAACGACTGAGCCACCCAGGCACCCCAGATGTGAACTTCTTGAGAAAAGAGGATGCCTAGGACATAGGAGGGGCTTAACAAATGCTTCTTTAAAGTTTATTTATTGAAGTGTAGTCGACACACAAAGGTTATATTAGGTTCAGGTGTACAACATAATGATTCCACAACTCTATACATTCCGCCGTGCTCACCACAGTAAGCACAGTCACCATCTGTCACCATACAAGGTTATTACAGTATTGTTGACTATATTCCCGATGCCGTACTTTTCATCCCCATGTCTTATTTATTTTATAAACAGAAGTTTAATCCCCTTCCCCTATTTCATCCATTCCTCCACTCTCAACTAGTGTTTTAATTAATTGATTTTCCCCCCAAATCTGACCTATCTAATGGGGCTTTTTAGGCTCCATTCCTACAGATTTCACCTGACTAAGGGAGAAAAAGGAAGGAAAGACATGGTTCAAAGATAGGAGATGTAGCATCAAGCCATTTTACTGACCGTACGTTTATTATTGCCCTGTTGTGATAGGTCCATTCCTGATGTGTCCACCAGAGACCAGTCTCATCAGGGTGAGTCTTGATACCCATAGGATTTAAGAACATGGACACTGCAGTCCAACAGACCTGGGTTTGAGTGCATGATCTGTTTTTTTTTTTTACTAGCTCTTTGACTTTGGGCCATATATTAAGCTCACTAAGCCTCAACTTCCCCATTTTTAATATGGGGACAAACAGTATGCATGCCATAGAGTTGCATTGAAAATTAAATGAGACAGTATCAGGAAAGTGCTGAGCTCTATGCCTGGCACTTAGCAAGGACTCAATAAACATGCCATTGTAATACTCATATTTTTATTATACTATGAAAAGATGTTCTCTCATTTCCAGAAGTCTGTAAGGACAAAGATTCCTTCATATCTCCATAGTATTTGCATGAAGACTTCACCTCTCAAAGTTTTAACCAAAGCACCTTGTCTGGGAATGTGTTCTCTGACTGGTGAAGGGCCATGCCTTTCTCTTTGACCTCTTGATTCTCTCATTCTCACTCTTAATACACCTCTCTGGCTGACTCTTACTGATTAGTAGTCAATAAACCATTTTTGATAGTTATATAAGACCTATAAGATTCCATCCTTATGGCCACCAACAATAACATTTAAAATATTGATCAATCCATGAAAATAGCTATGTGGATATTTCTCAGTTCATTGAAGACCATTATTGATATTGGCTGTTGTTCCCATCTGTCTAATAACAGCCATTTATTGAGCTTACAGTTCTTGCTCTCATGGAGTTCCAAAGACTAAAACATCTTATAAAAATGCAAGTCCTCACAGGACTATTGATTTTTTTTTAAAGCTAAAGGTTTATCCTATATTTCATCCCCATTTATCATTTGTTTAGGGAAAACTTCCTCCCTTAGATTGTTGAGTGGGTTTTGCACAAGAAAAATAAATTAGTTCATTGGGTAAAGGTGAGATGCTGAGCCAGACTGGAGATTTTAGAGGTCGATACTTTGCCTGTCTTATCTTTTCTTTGCAAACTACAACTTTCTTATCACACTTGGGGACTATCATTAACATCAGAGCTGCTATTCTTCATATAAAATTTAATTCATTTGAGCACAACACATTTAAAAAAAAAAAAAAAAACATTTACTATGTGCAACTCATGGAAATGCTCCTGAAATTGAGGGAGTTTTCCTCAGCAAAAGAAGCTGGTTAGAGACTGAGTACGTGGCTTTCAAAGCAAAGACAAGGTCAAACCTTGCTGATTTTAGATGTTAAGAAGGAGATTATACTATACCTTCTTTCACCCTAGAGAAGCCCCACAATAGTGTACTGGCAAGGTAACATTAAAATCACCCTTCTCATCTTTTTATTGTCAGTGTTTCTAGAACCAGAAAAACAAAACAAAGGTGTAAGTAAGAAAAGAAAGAAAGAAAAGCCTGTAACTTGAGTCACAGAAGTACAGGAAACAAATCAAGTATACTAATTTGGCTGTGCTCAAAGTCGCATTCAACTTCAAAACACTGTACCTGATAGAGTTTCATGCACCTTTCTCCTTTCCAGTCCGCTGCTAATGATTAAGCTTAAACTCCAGAACTATTCTGAGAGCAGTCAATGCTGAATGAGTCCAGTGCCAGAGGCATGGCCCATACCTGTTTCTTTATGTCTTCTGTGTTCTCAGGTAAATGGGGAGGGGGGCCACAAAGGGGACAGTTAAGGAAAGGAGACAAAGAGGTTGACCCCCCAACAGTGTTTTTTCCCCCTGTGGTGGTGTGCAAAAAGCAGAAGAGATGCTAGTGATTCTTAACCGGCTGAAAGCAACATGAGAATTTTGTCTAGATGATCTTGAATCTCAGGCTGGACAGTGTTCTACCTTCCACATTCCAATGCATCCCTCATTCAGTCCTACTTGGGCTAGATAGACTGGCTTTCCATAGTCTGTTATCATGCTGTCCTCATGGGCTAGGGTCGAAGGAGCCTTCCCCGACTCCTTTCCTAGAACTCTTGGAGGTAGATGGGGAAACAGTTTGAGTGGTGTCTAAAGTCATGAAATACAGTGATTGTTCATTTTTTTTTGGAGGGGGGAGGGGTAAAGAGTAAATAATCCTATTTCTTCAGTTGAGTGAATCATAAGCGTTGCCAGCATGTGAACTCACACATGTAGACAAAAACAGGAGACAACTAAAAACCTCTCCGGAGACATTCTTCCTCATTCGATAGGAGGGTGGGGGTCTATGATACTCCATTTTAGTGACCGTCTCCAAATTCTGTCTCTGTATCTGATACAGGAAAGTATTGCCAAGTCCAGAGTGTCAGGTACAAATACAGCCTCTCTCAAAATAGTTTCAAGCATGCAAGATGCAGATGATTGAGTACAGTATTTGAGAAATTCTGACAATACTGAATGAAAGGGTCAGCTCTGTGGCCCTGTCACATGTCGGATAGCCTTTCTGGGTCACTTCCTCTGGAACTGAGCTAGTTCTACCAGCTTCGTCATTCCACGGTTCTGTGATTCTCTCTGGCCTGAGTGTGAAGCAACTTTGGTTTGAATTTCTTCCCCCCGGGACCCAACAAATGAATGCTAAATTTGAATTCTACGTTTGGGAGTAGAGTTGGAAACACTAAGTGAGGAAGGTTTCTGAGATTTGTGTAGTAACCCCTTGTTGGCCACCATTCTGCCCGTCCTAGTTTAGTCACAATGTGGTTTCACATTTGTATGCTTGAATTGTAAAATAATTGGTCTGTGTATGTCTGAAAGAGTTCAGTTCCTTTAAATTAAAGGACTTAGCTCCAGTTATCCCTACCTTCATCTGCACCCCTATCCCAATCTTAAGGTCAGATGGTAAAGATGGAGGAGGTCTGCTCTTCTCCACCCTGTCCATATATGACAAGTAGAGAATAACAGTAGGAGGCCGGGCCTAGAGAAAGCATGCCCTTCTTTTGTGGAGAGACCAGCTGGCTACTAAGAATGTTGCCAAGGCTTGCAAAAATGCTACTAGAGAGAAAGTAAATGCAAGAAAGCATTTAATATCAATATACTAAGGGCTACATCAAGAACTTTTTCAAAAAGAAGTGTGGTTAATATAAAATAAACCCCATCTTCCATAGCAGATCATGGCTTTCAGGATATGAGCTCATGAGCAACTGAAGGAAAATAGTCTTTTCTGCTTTATTATCAATATTATTGTTTTATTCTCTTGTAAATTCCCTACTTTCTGTGAAACCTTGAACTTGCCAGGTTTTAGCTAACAAGGCACTTTTCAGGAATGTACCTATCACCACCCCCAGTTAGTGAGAGATCACTGACAAATTTTGAAAACACTCACATAGATTCTCATGAATCATGTTTTAATTGAGAGCTGAAGAGGAAGAGTGCAGAAGTAAGGACATAGATTTAGCTATACCTACGTGTTCATTTGGTACTTTTATTAACAGAAAAAAATTTACGTCTTTTTTTTAAAGAAGATTTTAAAATCTCATTCTCTAGGAAGTAAATTCAAGAGTAGGAAATTCCATACCTCTTCTACATGGTACAGTTTACTGTTAATTTCATTGACTGTTGACATACTGAGTGGTGTGTTAAGCTTGGAACACATCTCTCTCACTGAAGTAACAAACCAATATTAAGAAAGATAAGACACATGCATTTTTCCCTTGATAAAGACACCTCCTCCAGTGTTATAGAGATGATTAGGGAAGATCTAGATATATTTTTAGGAGGATATAATTTCAAGGAATCACATTCTCTCAGGATAGAAAGGAATATTACATGCCATTGAATCTTAGTGGATGCCTCTGAATCTTGAACTTATCCTGATACAAATTGTTTTCAAATATTATAACAACAGTATATCCTATTTGAGTTTTATTTTAAATTAACATATGGTAAAATTGACAGGGTGTGTATGTGTGTGTTTACAGTTCTCTGAATTCTGATACAATGGATTCATATAACCACCACCACAATCAAGATACATTAACAGTTTCATTCTCCTTAAAAACTACCTTGTGCGACTCCTTTGTAATTACCTCCTCAACCCCTGGCAGCCACGGATCTGTTCTCCATCACTGTAGGTTTGTCTTTATGGGAATGACGTAGCAATTAAATCATGCAGCATGTAACCTTTTGAGACTGGCTTCTTCTATTCGGCATGCCTTTGAGACTCATCCAAGATGTGCATATGTCAGTAATTCACTCGTTTTAATTGCTGAGTAGTATTCCATCCTACTACACTTTGTTCATTCAGTCACTGAAGGACATTTAGGTTGCTGCCAGTTTTGGGTAATTATGACGAGAGCTGCTATAAACATCTATGTGAACAGAAGTTTTTATTTCCTTAGAATAAATACTGAGGAGTGGCATTGCTAGGTCATATGATAAACATATTTTTAACTTTATGAGTAACTGCCCAACTGTTTTCCACAATGGCTGGACCATTTTGCATTTCCACGAGAATGTATGAGCATTCCATTTGTTCTGCATTCTCACCAGAACTTGGTATCATCAGTATTTTTTAAGTATTCTAATAGGTATCTAATTGTGGTTTTAAATGGCATTTCCCCTAATGACTAATGATATTAACATTTTTTTCATGAGCTTATTTGCCATGCATTTATCTACTTTGGTGAAACACCTGTACAAGCCTTCGGTTCATTTTACAATTAGGTTGTTTTCTTACTATTGGGCTTTGAGGGTTCTTTATGTATTCTAGATACAAGGCCTTTGTCGGTCTGTGATTTGCAAATGTTTTCTTCTAGTCTGTAACTTATCTTTTTATGCTCTTACTAGTATCTTTTGTAAAATTTTAAATTTTGATCAAGTCGAGTTTATCACTTTTTTTCATTTATGAATCATGTTTTTGGTGTCATGTGTGAGAACTCTGCCATACCCCAGGTCATGATGACTCTCTCTAAAGGTTTCTTCTGCAAGTTTTATGTTTTACATTTAGATCTATGATACATTTTGAGTTCATTTTTGTATAAAGTGTGAGGTTTAGGTTGAGGTTCATTTTTTTTTTTAAATTTTATGTATTTATTTGACAGAGAGGGAACATATGCAGG